ATATAATTTTTATTATATATAACGATCGTTGTGTGGTTAAAATGTTAATCTTATTATTTATATAATACAAAATATTACTTATCAAAAAATGTATAATATATATACAATTTATAAAATAGTTCGGTTTGGTCTGGCAAAATTTCAAGCTGAAACATGAAATCGTAAGCGAATCGAACCATGAAAAAACCAAACCAAATCTACCTGTCTGGTTTGATCCTATTCGATTTATCGGTTCGACTGATTTTTTGTACACCTCTACTTCAAACAATAATATACTTTGTTGCAATAGCAAAAATACAAAATTTTGCTTAAAGTCCTTATCAACAAATAAATATTATAGTACAATAATCCAAAATTCGAGTTGACTAATAATTTATTTGATGTAGGGAGCGAGCAATTTTCTCCTCAATTTGGTTACCCAAATATGACGATTGCTTGCAGAATTAATTAAGTTTTGAAGGGGTCAAGTGCAGAAAAATCACTAAATGTATACTTCTGTAATACTTTCACCCCTTATTTGGAAAAGTATTCTAATAGGTTCCTTATTTTTTTAACATATTGTACAAAAATATCCCTCAAATAGAAATTTGATATAAAATAATGATGTAATGCCTGTTTTGCCCTTTTACTCTTTCTGAAATGCCCAGGGAGTGTGCATGCTAATAATATCATAGTATAGAAGTATTGTACACATTTAATAGACTTTTAAGGATTTTTCTCTCACCTTTCAAAAAAAAATTTCTCTATATTATCTGTCTCTTAATTGAGAGTTATATATTTTCTAAGACTTAATATCACTCATAAGTTATAAAGTTCTAATATATGTATTTTTTTTATTGGTTAAATAGAGATAAAAAAATATATATATATCTCAAAAAAATATTTGTTCTCACATTTGTTAGATTAATGGAGTTCTAATATATGTATTTCTTTTACTGGTTAAATAGAGATAAAAAAAAATATGTGTTCTCACATTTGTTAGATTAATGGAGAACATATCACATGTAATGAAAACCTTAGTTCTTTTTACAATTATAAAAAAAAAAAAAAAAAAAAATTTATTCCCAAAAAAAATTTAATATAGTATCACTTTTCATTAAATATATAATTAAAAATTAAATTAGAGATGCTTATTCCTTGTATATATATATACACACACACACACAATTAAGTTTTAAAATATAATTCTTTACATAGTAAAAAATGATTGTTCGAATTCAAAACAACAATAGTTTGTAGGATAAAGTGCAAAAAATATTCCTATAGTATGCTTAGAGTGTGTATCATACCCCTCATGTGCTAAATGACGTCATTTTGCTTTGTATCCATTTTCGTCATTTCACAATAGGCCCCTCCTAACACATTTAAGGTATAATTTGCCTAAATTACCCTTATATACATATTTTATATATTATTTAAAAATACATATTTTGTGACATAATAATATATATTATTATTAATTTGTGACATAATAATGCATATAACATTATTCTAACTGATCATACTACTAATTACGGCTTGTTTATATCTTAAATAAAAGTATATAATAAAAATAAATGGAGACAATAATTTGTCTTGAGATTGATAAAAAATACATACTTTATATAGTATAAGCATGTAATGTATTATTTTAACAGGTTCATGTGACAAATAATAAATCATGAATATGCTTCCATAATTTATTAAATACTATACTCTAAATATTTAATTAAATGCACAATAAAGCATCAAATTAATAATAATAAATAAATAAAATGAAAAATAGCTATGATCTTTGGGAATAAGAAAAGCTATGCTAAATGGAGATGGAGACTGGTTGGCTATTCCTGCCCGTCGTCATACCAGGCCACTACACCATTTTAGTTGTGAATTTTTTTTCTTAAACTAGTTTGCTATGATCAAATAACTTTATTTAAATTCAATTTCTCATTCATTTGAAAACAGATTTTATATATTCTCAGAGAGAAGCACATTTCAACCTAGACCTACTTCAACATTTAAGTGGGATCCACTTCATTTTTTATCTGCTTGATCAAAACCTAATTAATTTTTTTTTATCTGCTTGATCAAAACCTAATTAATTTCCAACATATTCTATGTAGAATTGTTTAGGCTTATTTTTATTCCTCTACAATTGTATATGTAATCATGTAAATATGTTACATATTCCTCTAGAATTGTCTCAAACGTTAGATACGTATCGTAGTAAAAATTCTTGTTGTTCAGCTTTTTACCTATAAATAGAATTAAGTTCACTTGCTACTCATTAACCAACAAAGCTTTGTAAAGTTTTTCTAAAGCAATACAAGCACTCTCTGACTTTTTCTGAATAACTTATTACAAAATTCTAGAATTCATCTTTGAATATGATCTCAAATATAGAGTCATTATTGTAAAATACAGTAAATCCAGTTACAAAATTGATGGAAAATGGTAAACATTGGTGAACATATTTGGTAATTTTTATAAAGAATATACAACGATACAAATCGTTTTACATTCAAATTTTACCTATCCAAAATTAAAATGTACAGAAAAAAACTTTAGATTCTGATTATTCCATTCAAATTCTGATTCTCTAATGTGCTGTGGATTGAATGTCTTCCACAATAATTCTGATCCTTTAATGTGTTGTATTGATTTATTATGTTTCGAATTCAAATGGAAGAGGGTAGAGAATTGGGACATCAATAGTCTTCAATGTCCCAGGTTTGGAACACAATAATGAATGGAGAGGAGTTTTATATTGAATGACTAGTCGGTCGTCGATCCGAATTCTTACAATGCCCTACTTACAGCTTGATACTTCTGGATATAGTTGAGAAAGAAAGACAATGAGTGAGTGAGAGAGATAGTGATGTGGGTGGGGTCTAGAGAGAAGATGAAAATGAAGAAAGAAAAATTCTGTAACCTCCATTTCTCTCTCATACATTGACAGAAAATATCTATCATTATTGACAGGCCAGTGGTTTAGCGACACCAAACTCTTACTTCTCAAAGAAATGTTAAAGATTCGAGCCTCGTTGGAGGCATGTGTGTGACAATACCAACTAAGAAAAAAAAAAAAGTCTTTCCTTGATTCAATTACAGCAATTTGGGAAATCTCAAATAAAAAAGATAACTATTTGGACAATCGAATGTGCGGCTAAAAGTCTGATAAAGAAAATGTCAATTAGATTTGTACTCAGCCAGTTTACCGTTGATGCTCATGAGGGATGTGAGATCATGTGAGAGAAAATTGTCAAAACAAAATTGTAATAGTAAGATCGGGAGCACAAAAACAGTAAAATATAAGTTATTTATGGTAGGAATAAGAGCAAGCAAAACGTGAGAACAATACCCGTAGAGAAAAATTGTGTGACTTATATAAGAATAAGTGAGCAATTGTGTGTCACAAAATAACTAAAAATAAAATTTAACTCTTGTTTGTTTCTGCAAATAATATTTTTCAAAAAATAATTTTATATTTTGGTGTTTGGTTTTTAAGGTAAAACAAAATACATATAACCTATCTGGTTGCGAATTTAAGATAAAAAACTTTCTTTTACTTTTCAAATTTGAGAAAAGAGCAACCTGTAACATGTCCGGTTGACAGCTACCCTGATTGAGAATGGATACAACAGAGAATTAGTAAGAGTTGTACCCTGAACGTGGTAAACATAATTTCATCCAAGTGACCTAGTTTTGTTAAATGAAGACTAATTTCATCCAAGTACCTAGTCTGGTTAAATAAAGACTGAATAGACAAGACAACCGTAAAATTTCTTATTCGTAATAATTTAATCATGGGTTAATATCATTAAAAAACTAGGTTAGGTTGTCTAAACAATGGATTTTTGATCCACAGTTGATATGATTGACATTGAGCAGTTGGGAATTGGGATGTGTGACTTGAAAAGCATAACCCCTTTTCACATCACAATTTGCAATCTTAATAAAAAAAAAAACAAAAAAAAAACAGAAAGGCACTCAAAAAACAAAAGAAATCATGATTTTTGATGGAGTTTGCTTTTAATTTTGTAAAAGTTATCCTATAATTAGGCATATATAAAAAGTCAGTCAAAGTTTAACAAGAGTGATTAAATAATGAAAGAAAAATTTTTATTGAACAAGTCTTGATGACAAAATTTTATTATGAATTATTGCTTATATTAAAACCAAATGGATGGAGTAGGTAATATTATCTAATATTTTAAGGTTTTGAGTCAAATGGTAGACGTTCAATTCATTAGAAGTAGTATCAAATCACGCTTAGTTTTTATGAAACCAAATAATATTACCTCATCTTCTAAAGTATAAGGTAGAGAGATTAAGTTTCATATGGAGTAAAAAATGAAACCATTAGATTATTAAGATATTCTAATTTAAAGTAAACGTTTGAGGGCTTAAGTTCCATATGAAACCGCTAGGTTATCAGAATATTTTAAAGTTTCGACACCATGAGAAGATATTACATAGTCCCGTGACCAAGATTTGGATTCTCTTTAGCCACAACTCATTCTTAAAATTCAACAAATTTCAATCTTGCAATCCTGCAGCTTCAACCACGTCATCATTTGATCAAAAAATGTTATACCAGAATTATAAATATAGACTTTGATCAGATGATGATGTGGCAGAATCTGAATTACGTGATTAAGGTATGCGAAGTTCAGAAGAGAGATTTGGCTAGAAAAGATTCTTGTTCCAATGATCCCGTGTCTTTTATTATTGGATATATAAGTAATTGTGTCAAAAAGTGTTTTTTTGCTTGCATGTTTAATGATAATTGAGGGGACGATCTAAGATTTCTTCAACACCTTTCTTTTTAAAAAAATAAAAAAATACTAATTCTAAATCTACCAGTGCCACTGCCACTGCCACCGCCAATACCTTATTTCCAAAGCATTTGTTTTTTGTTTTTTCTGTTAAGAGTATATATATCAAAAGCATTTGTTGCTTTCCTTTTCTTTTTGCTAAAACACTCTTCTGTTTTCACTCGAGCAATAGCTATATAGCCATAGCCATTGTCGTTTATGTTCGTTCCTTCTTTGTATTTTTGCTTTCCCAAAACATAGAATATAAAAGGAAAGATACACCCTTCTTCTTCTTTTCTTTCTATTGGACCGTTGTCTCTATAATCCCCATTTATATCTATTCTTCCATTAAACCCTCCCAAGTAAAATTAGGTGCATGAGTGCAACAAAGTCAAATATCGCCAAAAACCCATTAAATATACATGGCATCTCTTTCTATTCATTATTATAATCTGTACATGAAAGAGATGTCTGCTATCGTCACCACCATCATCATAATCGTTTATCTCTCCTTAGCAGTTGTAATGGCGACATGGTCAATTTCTTACAACATTTTGCCTTTTCTGCCAACAAGAAACGTGCCTGAATCAGACCCACATTCTACCCAATTCCCATTTTCTCAATTTCAATATTCCCATCACTTCCTACACCCTGTAAGTAAATATACTTAATATATGTATATATGCACATATGTATATGTGTTTTTTGTATTTATGTAAAGGTACCCACTAAACACACAGCTATACATATAAAGATTTTGTTGAATTCATTTTTCAACTTTTTTCTGCCCACAACTTGTTTGTTTAATTGCGCCTTAAGCTGTTTGGAGTAGAATTTTAATTCTTTTGATTATTTATTTATTTATTTTTATCTAGGATTATGTGTTTTATATAACTGTATAAGTTCATATGTTTGAAGTTTAGGATGGTTGAGGATTCATTTCTTTCTGGTGTATGAGCTCGTATCCTCTCTCTCATATATATATATATATATATATATATATATATAGTTATATTTAAAACTTTTTTGAATTAATATTTGGTTAATTGTGTTGCTTATTTATCAGGAAGAGATTCTGGGTAGTTCAGAAAATTATAGTGTTGGGTTATAAGTGTTGTTTGACAATTCTGCTGAATTCGGCTGAGATGTCCCGGTTGAGAATTGGGCCATTTGGAGTCGTTTTGGTTGTGTGGTTGTGTTGGTCTTCACTACTTATGGGAGCAAACTCTCAGATTACCCACCCTGAAGAAGGTAATTTTACTTGACTGTGCTTTTGTTTCGTCTTGTGCCTTTGTTATGATGTAGTTTATTTATTTACGTGTACTATGGGAATGTTTAGTTGAAATTTACATAATTTTGCATTGTTTTCTGTCATTTGAGTTGTACTCTCTATATGATACCATGATGGGACTTTAGAGAGTAGGAAACTTGTAATTTCAAACAAAGAAGCCATTCCAAGTAATTTTAAATTTTGGCTTAATAATTTTAATCCTTGATAGGCTTTGATGTTTAAGGTACCAATTTGATCCGAGATGAAGTATTAATGATTTCATTACTTACTGTTAAATAATTTTTGAATTTTGCCTCGTACAGTATTAATTATTAGAATATAAATATATACACAATTCTTAAAAAATAAAATAAAAAATATTCTATTGTATGTCACACCTTAACCATACTCCAACAAATTCACACATTTTACTTTTGTCCATCTTGACTACATTTTGGCTAATAGGTAATCAATTAAAAGAATATTGGAGGTTTTTTTTTTTTTTTTTTTTTTTAATTTTTTTAGTGATAGAGATAATTTTTTGGTTTGGTGAAAATAAATTAAAATTCGTACAAGATGGTGCAAACAATTTTCTTTTTCGTAGTATGTTATCCATTTACTAGGTGCAGCCAATTGCCAAAAGCTTAGGCTGTTAAGGAATGATCCAATAATATATGTGAAGCTCTATGGTCCTCTCTCACATGCAACCTGTCTTGCACGAAGAGGAAAATGAGGCTAATAGACAGAATAAAACAAAGTAAAATTGCTTGCCAAATGTTGAGATTTGAACTCAAGACTTCCCTGAACTGAAGTTCAACAATGTATATCAAATTCTAACACCCTCCCTCACATGTGACTCTGTCTTGCACATACAGAGCAAACAGATGTAAAGAACCTCAAGGATCTTTTTGTATAACCAATCAGTATAGGGTCATACCTGGAAACTGGAAGGCTGAAGATTATCATGTCAATTCAACTGGGAGAGATGGCATGGCTTCAGAAATTGCGGCACTTTGTCGCTAGGTTTCAGCAACAACCCTTTTAGGATCTCTAGATACTCTTCTCAAAGAGAGTTCTTTTAAAAGAACCTGGGAAACATTCTTCTCTTGCAAGTGTCCTTTTCCAATTGTAAAATAGATACTATTTAGTGATCTGATATCAATTTGCATTCTATGCTTAACTTCTTAAGTTTTTTTTGTTGCTCACTCACCTGATAGGGGAGAAAAAAAGGGAAATGAAGTTTTTTATTGCCTTGTTTTAGGTCCATAATTTGGAACTAAGGATTGGTATGGAGCATCCTGGGATATGATTACCAACAGGCCAGTGGCCTAGCGGTATCTAGCGGTATCAAGCTCCTACTTTTCAAAGAGAGGTCAGGGGTTCGAGTCTCAGTGGAGGCATGTGTGTGTGAGTACCAACTAGCGAAAAAAAAAAAAAAAAAATCCTGGGATATGATTTACACTTGTAGATTGAATCACCGAATGTGCATTAATTGCACAGGTTGATGGGATGTTGCCTCCTGTTAGTTTATTGAATTTCTCTGTTTAAGTGCCAGTAGAACTTTAAATAACTTATCGAAGAATTTGTAGATAAAAATCTTGCTTTGGTTCAACATGGACTTTCAATTACATGAGTGATATGAAATGCACCAACAATTGAAGTGTGTAGAAGTCTTTCTAATCAGTTTGATGAAATGGTAGCAGTATGATGACCTTTTTTGTGTAATACAGGGACTGCACTGCAGGTCATCAAGAGAAATTTGATTGATCCGAATAAGAATCTCAGTAATTGGAATCGTGGAGATCCGTGCACATCAAACTGGACTGGAGTTTTGTGCTATAATACGACCATGGACGATGGCTATCTGCATGTCAAAGAATTGTATGATTTCAGTCTTTTCCTAATTTTTGTTCCTGTACTGGAGCATTATGAACATTAGTGTTTATAACAAATCCTCTTTCCTATGATTTTCAGTTTTTTATTTATGGGGAGGTGTTCTTATATATATATATATATATATATATATATTTGAATTATTTGGCATCAAGAAATAAAACTTTCATATGTTTGCGGATCCTTTCGTGCCAAGCATTATCTTTGTTCCCTTATATTGAATTAAATTAAATGGATATCTTTGTTCCCTTATATTGAATTAAATTAAATGGACATTTTCATTGTGTCAAGTGGCTAAAGTTGCAAGTTTCCGATTTCTGAAAAAGGTTTACCGCCATTTCATTATGAACTTAAAACTTTTATTGATATGATATATGCATTCATTTAGAACATTAATCATTAGTCAAGACTCAAGATATATCACTTATTTGTAAAAATCATTGTTATATAATACTAATCATTGCATAAAGTCACAGGTTCTAGTTAGAACTGCATAGTTATGGCTATTAATGTTCTATAATTTTGCCTACTAACTGCCTATGGTTTTTTTTTTTCCCTTGAATGCATGTGGGTATTTTTTAAATGTATATGTAACGGCATACTTTCACAAGAGAGTGAAGTATTAGATTGTGCTAACCATTATATTTTGAATTATACGCTGTTGGAGAATATCACAGGAGTGATTTTAGCCTATGATAGAATATTGATTGGAGTGATTTATCATTTATGGGATTGATTTTAGGAATCTTCCATCAATGTATTTTCCATATTTACTTGTGTTCTTTCACCTATAAATAGAGGTGCTGATTGTAAACAATATTAAGGGAGAAAATAATAAAAGTGATGTAGCCTTTGGGCTTTGTGTGCGTGGATGTAGGCCGTAATGGCCGAACCACGAATATTCTTGGGTTCTTTATGTTTGATTTCTCTCTTCAACTTTTTATATCTTTCAACATGGTATTAGAGCAGGTTTATCATACCCTACTCTATAACCTACTTGTCTCGGATCATCGGATCAATTCATCTCGAATCACTGGATCAACACGTCTTGGATCTCTGGTCAACTCGTCTCAGAGTCTTGACAACTTCGTATTTAATTTCAAGTTGGACACTTGAGAAAATCTTCGTGTACCAACTTGAGGGGGGGTGTTGGAGAATATCATATGAGTGATTTTAGCCTATTATAGAATATTGATTGGAGTGACTTATTGGATTGATTTTAGAAATCCTTGATCAATGTGTTTTCCAACTTTATAACTGTAAATCAATTAAACCCATGTGAGTTTTGGTCTTCCCTTCTAACATTACTCTAAAAGTGGAACACATAATTATTTATTACTGGTGCACTTGTTAGTCCTTGCAACGCATGACTAGACCATTTTAATATATTTTCTATCACTTTATTTCCAACTGATACTCCTTCAACCGTCTAGTGAATGCATTCAATTTTAATTTTATCCTTTATTATCTTGACACGCACAAATTTTAATATTCACATTTCTTGAAGGTATCTGATATGTTTTAAAATCACAGGGAACTTCTAACAATTTTTTTATGATTATTTAGCATTATTATTTATGAAGTTTGTCCTAAAAGGGTTAATGTCTTATTTGTTTTAAAGCAAAATCTTTGTCATTGGTAAAGGGTAGTAAATAGAATGGCAACAAATTTTTTTTTTTTTTTTTTTTTTGGTGCAACCTAGTTGATGGAGGATTCAGGAAAAAGATGTTGTGCTTAATCTTTGTAATTTGGCTAATCAATTTTTGTTGCAACCTGGTTGGTACTTTATCTTTGTAATTTGCTTAATTCCCTTGATATTTGTCTTCATTTCTTTCTTACAACTGAATAAACCCAAGGATTGTAAACATTATGTTGAAAGTTCTAAAGATAGTATCCTTTGTTTAATCATCCTGTTTATATACTATAGAACTTTTATAGCATATTTTCTTTATTCTATAACTTGCAGTAATGCCTTGTTAATTTGTCTTCTTTGCAGGCAGCTATTAAATATGAATTTGTCAGGAAGTTTATCACCAGCGCTTGGCTACTTATCATATATGAAAATACTGTGAGAACATGACACGGATGCTACCTTTTAAGCTATATAACGTGGATGCTTTTTGGCTCAATGAGTCATCCTGGGGAAGATAATTTTTCTACCATACACATGCTCCTAATTTCAATTTATTTATTGATATATTTTTCTTTCCCTTTCCTTTTATAGAGATTTTATGTGGAACAAAATAAGTGGGAGTATACCGAAGGAGATCGGCAATATTACTTCTTTAGAACTCTTGTAAGTAGTTGTAGTTCTTTGTTGGTTTAGTTAGATATTTTATATTGTTTCACCACCTGATTAAATGCTAATACCATTAAGAAATACACGCATGATAATAGGTCCATGCGTGTTAAAAGAACTTCAATTTCCATCTATCTCTACACTGTTTGAGGTGATGCTTATACCTGATTTATTATAATCAAGATGCATACGTCAGTTTACTTCTTGCCTGATAAGAAATGTGCAATTGCCATATATTTTTTGATTCCTCATTCTAAGCGTGATCTTCTGTGCTTCCAGGCTCTTGAACGGAAATCAATTAACAGGTTCCTTGCCTGAAGAGATTGGTTATCTTCCGAACTTGGACAGAATACAAATTGACCAGAACCAAATATCCGGACCGATACCTAAATCTTTTGCAAACTTGAACAAAACAAAGCACTTGTAAGGTTTTCTTGTAAGGTTTTGTTGCTGTCGATTTTGTTATTTTTATCATCATCATGGTCATTGTGTTGTTATTTTATCCTCTGCGCAGCCACATGAACAACAATTCAATTAGCGGGCAAATCCCCTCTGAGCTGTCTAGACTACCAAATCTTGTTCACATGTAAGTTGGTAATTTGTTTATCTTTTACCCCTAGTGCATTTTGAACATCTGGTTTGTCGTTAAAGTTGTAAAATTCTGCAGGTTGCTTGACAACAACAACTTATCAGGGTATCTTCCACCAGAGCTTGCCAAATTGCCAAATCTACTGATACTGTATGGTTATTGTTCTAATGGATATATGTAATGTATGATTTATTTATTTTGTTAAATTGCTTGGTTTTGTGCATTTTCTCACTGAAATTGCTTTTCGTCTTAGAATGGCTGATTATTATTGGTTTATATATTCTGTTTTCTGGCACTGTTGCTCTTAAAGGGGTCTTATTGTCATTAAAAAAGCCTCTAGTATGGTTAATTAAAGGATTTTTTCACTAGAGCAAATAGGTTTTGTACCAACTCAACAAAATCTGTCATAGGGTTACATAAGATGAATGGTATATCCTTGTGTTATCACTAGTCATCTTGACAATAGGAGTGAATCTTGCTTCACAATGGAAGCCATACTTAACAGTGATGTCATTAGATACTTGTCAAGCATTATAGCACTCAATAGACACATCTGTACTCTCCAGTATAACTCAAAAAAAGCTAAATACCAGCTTATTAGAATGAATTGCACGAGTTTTAATCTAGATGCCTTACTTTCAGGAAGTCATAGACTGCTCTGTGTCCTTCAAAAGGTAGTAAGCTTTTCCGGCAGTCTTCTACATGGATATTGCGTCACATGGTGTCCAGGCTCTCACTAAGATAGGATTTTTGCTAAAGAAGACCAATAAGTAAGAGTATTAGTATCATCGGTGCCCTAAGAGAACGACAATCAAGTGAGGGATAATACTACTTAAGGGAAGTGGCAAGGAAGCCTCATCACTAGACACTTAGACAGTGAGTATGTCGTGGAGTACTTGAAACGGGGTCATTCAGAGAAACAGAAGTTTCTTCTTGGAGACTACAAGTGTTGGATGGCCTAAGAGAGTTAGTATCATCAGTGCCCTAAGAGAACGACAATCAAGTGAGGGATAATACTGCTTAAGGGAAGTGGCAAGGAAGCCTCATCACTAGACACTTAGACAGTGAGTATGTATTGGAGTACTTGAAATGGGGTCATTCGGAGAAGCAGAATTTCTTCTTGGAGACTACAAATGTTGAAATGGAACTGTGCATTGGAAAGATGTTTATCCACTTGCAGAGGATAGAGGTCAAGAAAACTGGAGGTTGTCAATGACATAAGGTGGAAGAGGAAGTGGGAGGAAGACCAAGGTAGGGATGTTTGCTTGAAAAAAAAGTGACATAGAGAACTTTTTAGAAGCCTTATGGCTGAATATTAACATTTATGACATACTGATGTCCAGACCTGCACAGTTGAATTAGCACATAGGCTAGAGTGCACCAACAACATGCATACGAGTCTATGAGATTAATGTGCACTATTTTTTTTTTTTTATAAGTAAGAATTTATTAAAAACGCTCAAAAAGGGGAGCAGAACCCAAAGATACAAAACAAAAGGCTAAAGGGCACCTTAGACCTTCAGAGAGGCCAAAAAAACAATAATTTCCTCCGTAGATCTATAATCTCTCCCTGAAACCCAGCAAAAAAGAGTACAAATAATAGAGAACTTAAGCATAAAAACAAGCTTCTCTTTTCCATCAAAATATCTCCTATTTCTCTCGAGCCAAATACACCACCAAATACAAAACGGCGTAGCCCTCCAAGCATCTTGAATGGAAGCCCCAACGGATACGCCTCTCCAAGCTTCAATCAACCCTCTAGAAGAACAAGGCATAACCCATTGAACCCCAAATAAACCAAGCATCAAATCCCAACAATCTCTGGCCATACTACAATGTAAAAGGAGGTGATCAATTGACTCCTCATTGCATAAGCACATATAACACCGATTGACCACCACCTAATTCCTCCTCCTCAAATTGTCCTGGGTTAAAATCTTGCCTAGGACTGAGGTCCAAGCAAAAAAGGCGACCTTGCGGGGAGCCTTGGAACGCCAAATAGACTTCCATGGGAAGGGTTCTCCGTGATGAAACGAAAGGCATCTAAAAAAAGATCTAACCTCAAAACGACCTTGCGAGTTAGGAACCCAGAACCAACAATCCGACTCCCCAAAAGAGATCACCTGGCTATACAAAAGCTCCAGAAATCGAGAAACATCCTCGATCTCCCAATCCTGAAAATGCCTCCTGAACTGAACATCCCAAGTCAGTCTCCCGTTATCAAGATGATGACAGTCAACAACCATGGCCTGTCGGTGAGAAGCAATCCTATAAAGCCGTGGGAAAGCGAGAGCAAGAGGGCGTTCCCCACACCAGATGTCCTTCCAAAAACTGATCCTCCTTCCATCTTTAATTCGAAAGCGAACATGCTTGCAGAAATCATCCCAACCCCTCTGAATGAAATTCCAAACTCCCACCCCCCTTGGGCCACGCCTCGCCAGAGAGCACCACCCACCACTACTTTCCCCAAATTTGCTCTCAATAACTCTCCTCCAAAGCCAATGCCTCTCTATCCCAAACCTCCATAGCCATTTACCAAGGAGAGCCTTATTAAAAGGCAACAACCTCCTTAACCCTAAGCCTCCAAACCGAATTGGACGGCACACTTGATCCCACCGAACCAAGTGAAACTTGAACTCTTCTCCTTCCCTCCTCCCCCCCCCCCCCCCAACAAAGGAAGTTGCATTGCAATCTTTCAATTCTCTCGGCCACTGAAGAAGGAATCTGAAACAGAGAGATGAAGTAAGTAGGAAGGCTAGAGAGGGTACTCTTAATCAAGGTAACCCGACCCCCCTTGGACAGGTACTGCTTTTTCCATCCTTTCGAACCTATCAACAACCGGATCCCAGCTCCCCACACATCTCGAAGGAGCACCCAAGGCAATCCTAAGTAAGAAATGGGAAAAGAGCCAATACAACATCCAAGGATCTGCGCAAGCATCTCAAGCCAGTAGAAGAATAATGGATGACAATATTACAGTTTAGCTAGACCAGCATACTGACATTTTCAGGGTATAGTACGTAATTCACTGTTTGGTTACCTGGCTCCAAAACAAGAAGTTTGTTATGGCTTCTAAAGTTGAGTGTGAACCATTGTGGTGGTGTTCTTATAAATCTGTTGATATAGAGGGCCTAGAGGCACACCATGCATAACTTTAATATTGAAAAATCAAATAGCTTTCATAAATGGAATAGAATAAGTTCTCAAATACTTAATTTCAACTGGCAGAGTGGGACTGCTAACCTTGTAAGGCTGCAAGTAACTTTCTGCTAGATGGAAACTGAAGGGTGTCAAATCTTCTTTTATTGACAGAAAAAGGTGATGTGCCTTCAAAATTAAAGGATAGTAGAAGAATCTTTGAAAGTAACCCAAAGATGGATTTCTCTCCAATTAGAAAGAAACCAAGAAACTCAAAAGAAATGGTTAGCGGATTGCTATTAAATTGTCTGGTTCTGGCCTGGTGTAGACAATTAGCGAGTGGATTTGAGATCTCCTTTAAAGATGTACAGAAAACTGCACTAGCCTTTTTTTGTTAAATCAAGATTACTGTCACATGGATCTATGGAAGCAATTGACATAAACTTACGATAGCTGCTATTTTTCTTCTTCTTCTTCTTCTGGATAGATAAATTTACTTACACACATGCCCTCTATGGGGCTTGAACCCTCAACTTCCCCTTTGTGGAGGTGGAGGACATACCAACCAAGCCAAGGCTTTGGTGGTATGAACTTCTAAAGTTCATGCCAATAGAAGACTAAAATGTGCTGTTGCTACCATTACAATCAAAGAAAAGAGATCCAACTAAGAAAATGGCATCCTACAGCCCAAGGCCTAGAATTGACAGTTATGGTCCAAATCAATACATCAATGTAGTAAGACATAAACAAATGTCTTTGTATGTCCATTAAACAATTAGCAGTTTCTCTATAGCAGTCATGGAATGTTACTTTCTATTTCCTCTTTGTTATGTTATGACAGCGTCTTGACCTGAGAGAGACGAAAGCCATAAATTTGGCGAAGTGTCGAACCTGAATTGGGCTGACCTATCCTTCTTACCGGTACCTTTCATTCATCCAGTTGTGACATCACCACCCCTACCCAAGAATATTGTTTTTCCCAATTGTGGAAGCTGATAAGGTGATAACTGATCTTATGTCTTGCAAGTGCTTAACTTTTTCCTTTTCTCTTCTTTTTCTTTTTTCCCTTTGGCAGACAACTTGACAACAACAACTTTGATGGGACTACAATACCAGCTTCATATGGCAACATGTCTCATTTATTGAAGTTGTGAGTTTATTTAATGCTCTGGAAGTTGTAAGTGTACAGTTACTATTTTATGTTGTTAGTAGGTTTAAAGGTCCATGAATGAGGTAAAGGTGAAGGAATCCTATTATATTTTTGCATGAAATGTAAATCCAGAAGCAGGATGCTTAGAATTTGCATTTTTTCTTCCTTTTCTTTTAACACTAATCTCTAAAACAATAAAACACAATCACACGCACACACAGAACTTAAATAAAAACATACTTCTACTGATATTAACTGAAGAGTGCTTGACTGAGGCTGTTTCACAACAATCAAATCCTAAATGGATAGAGGATTGTTCAAATCATGATAACCCAAATAGACCTAGAGGAGGAGGAGGAGAGGGAGGGGGGTTGAATATGTTATGAAGAAACAATTGATATAACTCTATATATGCCAATAAATAGATCTAACTTTAATAATTTGGCAATTTCTTTAAACAAATAAACAGATTCACAAGCTCGATTGAATGTTATAGCAAAAGCATATAACAAATTATTCCAATCATTCAATCAGGCTTGATAAATAATATACTCATAAACATAAGTATTTAAAGCAATATAAATTGTAATAAGTAAAGCTAGAATGCACACTAGATTTTACGTGGAAAAACCTACCCAATCGGCAAGTCAAAAAATCACGGAGGACCCTGTCCGACAAATTAATCCACTATGAAGAAAGAGATTTGCAACCTATATCCATTCAACACCTATGAACTCTAGTTGATCTCCAGACTCAGTAAGATACCCAACCTCCAAACACAGAAGATCTCCAGGTCATCTTCCCAATCCATCTACAACATTCAGTGCAATCAAACACTGACTCTTCCATGAACAATTTTCAGCACCAGCGTCCAACACTTGTAGTTCGATTCTCTTCAGTATTGATTCAACATTGTAGCTCAACAACAATAGTATATGTGATGAAAAATGAACATCATCTTCCCTTCGTGGCCAATATATGTGAAATGATTAATCCTAATTTCTACACCATCTAACATCTCATTTTACTGTGTGTTAAAAAGAATCAGTAGTGCCACGAAGCGCATAGTGCAAGTGGTATCTCCTCCTCCTCCCATATGGGAGGTTGAGTGTTCAAGTCCCAGTGGGGACAATAGTGGGTGTGTGTGTCTTACCTATCAAAATAATAATAATAATAATAGATGAGGATGATGACGATGTATGTCATAACCTTGCATGTTCCCTGAAGCTCTATATGCTTTTTTATCTTTGGATTCTACTATGCATGTGGATATGTTCAGAAAGCTTTGAGTTAAGATTGGTTATGCTTTTGTTTGATGTAGGAGCCTCAGGAACTGTAGCTTACAAGGTCCAATCCCTGACCTCAGCGGGATACCAAATCTTGCTTACATGTAAGTTCATAAGTATGGACATTGTGAAGCTATTTACCTGCCAATGGTTCCCCGTAATCTTTGCAAAATATCATTTTATCAATTTATCGCATATTGAATTATGGGTCTCCATATTGGAATGCTACATGCGCATGCTGATCAAGGTTTTAGGTCTCATCATTTGGAGACAAATCTGTTAGCCATTGACTTCTTTATATATGTTGTTTGTGTATTTGTATCTCATTTTATTGTTTATACTTGCTATTCCTATTTTAAATGATGAAATCTACATTACAGAGACCTCAGTTCGAACCAGCTTAATGGATCAATACCACCAAATAGGCTTTTCGAGAATATTACAACTATGTAAGAACGCTGCTCCACCTTTGATTATTTTGTTCTTTAGTCTGTAGTATATGGTAATATTTTATATAGGATGCAGGCACGGATCTACAGTGGGGGCATCCGCCCCCACTGAATTTTTTTGTTATTGCATTTTACACCTCTAAATTTGTACTTTTTTGCAGTTATGGCCATAAAATTTTGAAATTGGCCCCACTGAAATTAAAAAAAAAAAACCCCTCTATAAATTCCCCCCCCCCCCCCCCCCCCACATATGAATTTCTAGATCCGTCCCTGATAGGATGTACTCCATAGAAAGTATACCGAAGTCTTAGAAATTCTAGTAATCTATGATATTATTGATTTTCTATGTTTTTTAACTAATCACCTTTATACACTGTGCAGCTATTTGTCAAACAACAATCTTACTGGAACAATTCCAGTCAACCTTTCAGGCCTTCCTTATCTTCAGAGATTGTGAGCTTTCTTCAACTTATTAACCCATCTTCTATATCAATTCTGTTGTTCCTTATACTGTAATAATTGAAAGTAGATTATATTATTTTTTTCATTTGAATTGTGTCCCATCACCTTATTTAGTGTTCCATAAGATTTAGGGGTACTGATGCCCATTATTTGAATTACATAATGACATAAATGGATTTATTTTGTAAGTTGATCCCCCTTGCAGGTTACTTGCGAATAATTCATTGAACGGTTCTCTTCCATCCACTATTTGGCAAAATAGGACATCAAACGGAAATGAAAGTCTCATCTTGTAAGAATTGAAATGAAATCATTCCATTCCCCCCCACCCTCTCTCTCTCTCCCTCTGTGCTGTGTCTTGAGTGTCTGTGTGTGTTGGTGCACACCATCCACTTTGAAGTATCTCTAATTTTGAGATCTAAGTTGTAACTTTCTTTGCTAGGCTGATAACTATTTGGTCTGAAATTGATTAGTTTTTATTGAAATCCTTTATGACCTTTGATTTTGCAGAGATTTCCGGAACAATATGCTGTCAAATTTTTCAGGCAGTGTTGATCTCCCTCCTAACGTCACTCTTTGGTTAGCTTACCCTCTTCATCTGCAATGAATTGTTTATTAACACTGAATTGTCTTCTCAATACAAAAAGTAATAAAATAGCATCTTACTTAACTCATTCTAAAGACATTGCAGTTTAAGGTAGTAATCATGTCTCTCTCTTTTTTCTTTTTTTTGATAACTTCTGTAATTACTTTAAAATTCCAGGCTTCAAGGAAATCCTATATGCTTAAATGCCAACGTGGTCAAGTTCTGTGGATCTCAGAGTGATGATGTCAATAATATCCAGAAGTTAACAAACTCCACTACTGTTTGTCTCAATCAATCGTGCCCACCCCCTTATGAATACTCCCCGCAATCTCCTTTATCATGCTTCTGTGCTGCACCTCTTCTTGTTGGATATCGGTTAAAAAGTCCTGGCTTCTGGGATTTTCAGCCCTACATCTATTCGTTTGAGGACTACCTAACCAATGGTCTCAAAGTGAACCTATATCAGCTTGACATTGATACATTTGTATGGGAAAAAGGCCCTCGACTGAAGATGTACCTGAAGATCTTCCCTGTGTCTGACAACTACTCCCATGTCTTTAATAGGAGTGAGGTTCTGAGAATTCGAAGCATGTTTACAGGATGGACGATTCCTGATAGTGATGTTTTTGGACCTTATGAGCTTCTCAATTTCACACTATTGGATCCTTATAAAGATGGTTTGTCTCATAAACCTTAGCTGACATGTTTTGCTTGGGAATTTTGATGATAAAAGACATCTGGTGATCGTATTAATGATATCCTTTTGGGGAAATTACCACCAAGTCATACTTTTCTAATTGAAAGACAAATAAGTCCTAAATTTTTTTCTTTAGGACCAATAACTCGTACTTTCATTTTATTGAATTTTTTTTTATAGAATAATTAAATTTTTTGTACTAAAATCGTGTATTCTAGTATTCTACACGAGTTATTGAATTGAATTTAAATTAGATTAATTATTTCTTAAATTCACAATGCAATATGATAAAGTAACTAAAACTTAAAGGAATATATAAAAATATATATAACTAACGGGCCAGTGGCCTAGCGGTATCAGCCTCTTATTTCCTAAAGTGAGGTCAGGGGTTCGAGTCTCAGAAGAGACGTGTGTGTGAGTACCAACTAGGAAAAAATATAGATAGAAATATATACTATATATCAATTCTTGAATAAGTTTATAATTACAAAATTTTTCTTCTATTTAGTAAAGGTATAAATAGAAAAAAAAAAAAAAAAAAAATCAAAAGGAGGATTTATTGGTCCTAAAGAAAATTTTAAGGACCTATTTGTCTTTCGATGAGAAAAGTAGGACTTGATAGTAATTTGCCCTGTTCTTTTTCCTCTTTTGCTGGGAGAAATTTTTGAAATATCTGAGAATCTGGGTCATCTAAGTTTCTGTAGACTGTATATAAAATACTGATGTTTACTCCAGGCATGACACTGAGAATGGTTTGCTCACCAAATAAAAGAAGTCCAGAAGAAGAAGAAAGATAAAGCGAAAACTAATTAATGTTTCAGCTAGTATTAATAATATAAACTTTGTCCCCGATGTTCTGTGCAACTTTTTGACAACCATCTTTTTCGTCTTTGGGATTTTTCTTTTTGCATTACTCGGCAATTATTATGATATAAGTTGACAAGTTCCTTGATTTCCTCTGTAACAACAAATCTGGAAAAGCATGTCATTTACAACAAATCTGGAAAAGCATGTCATTTTGACGTCCTGTTGTCTCTTTTCTGTGTATGGTTTATGAACAAGTTCGTGTATTTATAGGCAATCTTGTAAATGTGAATAGTTGTTGAGTATCAAACAGCATTACATATGGCTTATTTGTTGTGCTAATATATCTTTGATCATCCTTTATGCTGATAATAAACTGTTTTAGGCGTCACAGCTGTTGTTCTGGTCATTTTCTTTGCAGATTGGTACAGTAGTACTGGTGTGATGGTACCTTATCGGTTCTGTTGTGGCTACGGTTTGCAACAGTGATCTGTATTCAAATAAATGATTAGCTAATATGTTGGATGAATCTATGAGTGGAATTACTTCACCCAAAAAGCAGCCAAAATTTCAGCCATACCTCACATGGACAACAACAAGACACACACTGAAGCTTCCATATTTGTGCATGCATCAATAGATGGATGAATAATATGAAAATGTTATTGCTTTCTGGCCATAATTCTTATTTTTTGTTGCAGTGATTCCCTTGTCTTCAACATCTGGTATAAGCGGGGGTGCAATAGCTGGAATTGTAATAGGTGCTATTGCAGGTGCGGTTACATGTTCTGCAATTGTGACGCTCCTTATATTGCGATTACACAAGAGAAAACACCATACAGCTTCAAAAAAACGTCTATGTGAGTATCTTATAGTTACCAATACTTTTAGATAGTAGTAGATGTTTTTTGATTCTCCATTGTCTTGTCCCAATTATTGTTGTCGACCAACACAAATCTCTATGTCATTGTAAACTGTTGCTTTGTATTCTGGTTAGTAGTTCAGCAACAAGAAAATACATGATACTGGAAATTTGTTGAACCAACTTATTACAAGGTTGCCCCTATTTATTATTTTTTCAAAAAAATGGGACCAATATTCAATTTAATTGCAACAGTTCTTTAGATATGAACCACGAAGATGCCAATTTTTCCAATTGCAGCTGTTTTATAGATGCATAAAAAAGGAAATGTGGGCATGTTATCCTTTGTGAAAAACTGTTACAGTAATATGTTATTCTTTCTGAAAAACTGTTACAGTAATGCTATTATTGAATTTTGTTAAGCGAGATAATGAAGTTAGGCTTAACTGCACCCCCATCATTTGGGATTCAGTTAATGCTCAATTGGAAGCTTAAAAATTATAGAATTAAATATGGCCAACTGCGTGCATTCTTGGTTCCACCATGTTTTGAAGGCGTCTTCTGATTTCTAATGCTATTAACCCTTGAAGTTTCTGAAAAATAAACTCAACATGATGTAGTGTGAGATATAATCTTACTCATACATGTTTTATTATTCAATGAACTTCTCATATTTTTTTCTTGTTATTTATTTATTTATTGGTGAGACGCTTTCTTTAGGTTTGTGTAAAACAGTAAATCCATGAAATTGTACCCCGAGAAGATGAAATCTCTTGTTTTTTAAAGTCAAACAGGTTAGTCTACCATATTCTGACATAAATATGAGAGTTGAATTTTGAATTTATTAAAAAATGTAGGATAAAATTGATTTGCTAAGAGCAGGTGTTTATGCTCACAATCACCTTGTAGATGAGTTCAAAGATATCTGAACCATAATTGGTAAAAATCCTATGTGTCAAGGTATAGCAACAAAATATAGTATCTCCGCAATCATAATTGAAAGGGAAACTTGCTTTTTGTTATATTTATTAGATGTATGATCTGTGGTGGAAATAGGTTGAAGCATCTTCCATTTGAATCTGATCAGATAATGGATTGAAAAGAAGACAATTTTTTTCCCAAACCAGCTCCGAAAGGGTTAATGAATATCAACCCAAAACCTGCCTTTATGAAAAACACTATTGTAAATACCCCATTTATAGTCTTGTCAATACTCTTTTACTTTCTCTGTATATTCGCAATGTATACATCCTCTTGTAAAACAAATTATTGTCTAAGTAGAGAAATTCAAAGAACAAATAAAAACTACTCCGTATAACCTTTCAAGCTAAAACCCTAGAATCTATTATGGGTGCTTCAATCCACAAGGAGTCTTGATGCACAACTAAGATGCGAGAAAATTCTAAAAAGGAGCCATGTCAATCTCCGACATTTCTTGGATGATACATCTTGGACGTGTCCATAATTTTAAAATAGAATTACTAAGTTCAGACGTGTAGCTGGCACTTATGCTCTAACTAGACTAATGAATTTTGAATGTCGGATGAGATTTTCCTTTAGAATGGAAGAAAGTATTGTGATGTTTATATAAAGTTTTTACACATAGAGAAAACAAAAGGGTTAGGAATATTTTATTGAATGAGTTGGTATAAAAGTAGAAGATAAAGTTATTAACTTATACTGAGGCTATGGCCTTAAATAGTGCGGAATGGAAATATGGGATTCATATAGCCGACCGCAAACAATTGGGAAAAGGCTTGGTTGTTGTTGTTGTTGTCGTACAAGTTATTAACTTAATATGGGTACATATGCATGTTTACATACACGAACACAAGCATACAAATATATTTCGCATGCTTGTTTTGCCTTTACTCATACTATGGGGGTAATTAGAACTGTATGATTTTTAAGTGACTCATACTATGGGGGTATCTCCTCTACCTCCCAGAGGCGATGGTGAAGGTTGGAGTTTCCGTAGGGACATGGGCGTGTGGGTTTCTTGCCAATGAAAAAAAAAGGATGGGCTTGTGAATTACAAAATTTCATGTAAAAGTCAAAATATATCTGTTTATAATATTTTGTATAATTTTCATTCAGAAATTTGTATATTTTATTGTTGTTTTCTCATCATGTCCATGTGCCTGTGTCGTGTCATATTGTGTCTGCATCCATATCTATATACATGCTTCGATCCACGATGTGGAAAAAGATTAACCTCTAAATGTTATTCAAATAGATAGGATAGACTAAAATGTCAAGTTATTCATTACATTCCTACTAACATGAATGAACCCTACTGGAAGTAGGGTAAATCAACCATGAAAACAAATGGAACCAATTATTCTAGACTATTTTAAACTCAACTTCATGAAGCTAATAAAAATAGAAACAACCAAAATTGTAAACTTGTAAAAGCTTATTATGTAAACTCATGGCATTGATCATGTTGAGACTTGTAAGCACGTAGAGAAAATCTTATGGTACAGGCAGTTTTTCAGGTTGCTGTCCTTGTCCCATTTTAGGATTGTCAAAGGCTCCCACTCTGAATCCTCACCATCCAATTTGTTTGGGTAATCTTCCAGCATTTGTTCTACATCACATTAACGAGTTGTGACTTAGAAGTTTTATTTTGTTATAATTTCCTGCTGCAGTCCAAAATTTATAGTCACTTTATATACAATAGTGAGCTTGACAATGTCATGATGGAATTTAGAAGTGCAGTAAATGTTCGTAGTTGAGAAAAGTGTTTTGCATTTTACCATTGGGTCAAATTCATCAAAATGGTATCAAGAAGTATTTAAGTGGGTTGGACAACTCTATGCTCATGTAAAATGAGCTTTAAAAAAACCGATGCTGCTCATGTCCCCATGCATGTCTTTCTTCCACATTTCCTGATGAATCTATCTCTAATTTATGTTATTTAATTGCTGTTTGCTTGAATTTCGATTCCTAACTAGCTTTCACAGGTTTAATCTTTGGAATTATGCCAGAGCACTCGCTTTTGGACCATTCGAGATGCTTTAATATTCCCACTATCAATGTAAAATGAATATCCTAGGACTTGCCTTGGAACATTTTCAATATGGAGAGAAATTGGATCAGTATTTAGATTTATTGTCATAGGAAAATTTACATCTGTGGGCATGATCCGTATTTAGATATTTTGTTTAAATAGGAAAAAGGTACATCTGTGGGGATAATAGATTTGTGTCAAAACCTTAATCCTCTCCCGGAGAAAAGGCTGATTGATTTGAAGGCCGGAGAAGTCTACGAACGTGTTCCCTTAGCTCCAAACTATACTTCTTTCCTCTGTATTTCTGGCTGAAAGTATCTTAAAAATATGTCTTGGAGTTGATGAGGCTTCTTCTTTGCTTGAAATTCAACACTACTAACAATTACATTTCTTTGGCAACGGATAAATACTTTTATGGTCAACTATTTCCACATCTCTCAACTAAAGTCTGAATTATTGAAAATGAACCTAAAAATTTATTATCAGATGTGACATTGCGTTCATATTAATACGTTTTGCAGTGTCTAGGATCTCCATGAAGATTGATGGTGTGAAAGCCTTTACTTATGAAGAAATGGCTCTGGCAACAAACAATTTCAATAGCTCCAGTCAAGTTGGAGAAGGAGGGTATGGAAAGGTTTATAAGGGTATCCTAGTGGATGGCACAGTTGTGGCCATAAAGCGAGCACAAGAGGGATCATTACAGGGTGAAAAGGAGTTTCTCACAGAAATAGAAATATTGTCAAGGTTACATCATCGGAACCTAGTGGCTTTGATTGGATATTGTGATGAAGAAGGTGAACAGGTACCTTTGTACTATCATGTTTAGATTACCCACACTTCCATTAAATCATACACCATTTGCACCTGTTGCTTGGCCACTAAAATTTGCATTGTTGATAGAATTATTGAACATGGCTCTGCACCTTATGGCCACAACTGATGAACATGGCTCTGCACCTTTCATAAAAACCTACAAATGTGGAGAAGTATTAAGTGCAAAAATGAAGGTGCAGAGCCATGTTCAATAGCTATTTTAAAATTGGTGTCGAGCAATAGTCTTCATATATCTTTCTTTAATCATTGCTACTGTCCTGGAAAATTGGTTGGGTTCTAAGACTAGAGTTGTTGTTTTTCTTTGTCCAAACAATCTATTTCTGTACTAGCTGTTGCAGCTTTATCTTGGACCAGAAAAGTTGATGACTTAATGTTCTTTTTGCAAACAGATGTTGGTTTATGAGTTCATGTCCAATGGCACATTGAGGGATCAGCTATCTGGTACATTTTAAAACTTCCATCTGTCTTTTCTTTGTAGAATATCAATTATTTTATTTCTGTGTTCCTGTTGCAACTATGATTGGGAATCACAAGCAAGTTGGACGTATATATAAATATGAATAATTAAACAGACTAAAATCTGTGTGTGTAGATTGTTAATGTTTGTGATATCACAGGTAAATCTAAAGAGCCTATGAATTTTGCTATGAGATTGAGGGTTGCATTGGCTTCATCCAAGGGCATCCTCTACCTGCATACAGAAGCTGATCCTCCAATATTTCATCGAGATATCAAGGCCAGCAACATATTATTGGACTCTAAATTTATAGCAAAGGTTGCTGATTTTGGACTTTCACGACTTGCCCCAGTTCCGGATCTTGAAGGGATTCTGCCTGGTCATGTATCTACAGTTGTTAAGGGGACTCCGGTACGACTCTTATTTATGACATCTTCTCATAGAATATTGAGTCTCAAATGAATATTAGCTTAAAACGAAATTTTTGCACTAACTCTTAGATTTGTAGTGTTTCAAAGGATGAGAATGGATAGACCGTTAAGTACTGAGTGATGTCTAGAATAAAATCTTTGCAAGAAACTTTAATGTGGTTCTTAGGATTTTGTACTCTTCTAAGGAACTTATGGTGTAGCCTTTATGGGGCATTTTTTTATTTTTTTGTAGTTGATACTCAAACCCTTCTCCCCCTCCCCTCTCAAGGAATTGTTTGCACCCGAGAGAATTCGAACCTGATGTTTCATGAGGCATCAGGGTCAAGTTCTTATCCACTTGAGCCAACCCCTTGGGGTTAGGCATTTTTAGTTCTTCTGAACTTCCAATGAATCTTTTGTATTGTCTACAGCTATCTACAGTTTCTTGCAAAATTTATTGCCTATGGGGTTGAGTACTGCTCATCAGCTGATAGTGGTTTAAATTAGAACATACTACATACCGAGTACTAATAATATCAACTCAACTCAACGAAGCTTTAATTCTAACTTGGGGTTGGTTTCATCGATTCTTCTTTTATGCACTCACAATACCATCCTCAAAAATCATCTATGGAATTGAATATCAACTATAAACAAACAACATTAATAACCACTATATCAATGGCAGTGTGTGGGAGGGACCGGAAGGTGTCCAATCAGCGTAAATATGCAACGAGTTTTATGGGAAACATTGTAGAGCTCATCATCAAAAGCCTCTAGTGTCGGTGCAATTTCATGATTCATACTGATATTTTATTCCATCAATATGAAAACTTAAATAGCTAACTCAACTTCTATGGATCTCTTAAGATTAATGTTGATGGAAACCTGTACTTTTAAATGGTTACAAAAGCTAAATAAACTGCAATTTATGCAGCAGATATATTAAAATCAACCTAAAATATTAGAATTGAAACGTTGAGTTAAATGTGAAAATTGATGCCTAAACAGAGCGAGAATCGTATACATGATATTGGGAAGTATACATTGTTTCATTTTTCATGTTAAGCTTCATATTACATAACTCTCCAGAGTGAAAAGGGCATTTTCTTTGCAGGGCTACCTTGATCCAGAGTACTTCCTAACTCATAAGCTGACTGACAAAAGTGATGTTTATAGTCTGGGAGTTGTATTTCTAGAGCTCTTGACAGGGATGCCACCGATCTCACATGGAAAGAACATTGTTCGGGAGGTACTATCTCCCCCATTCCTTTTTTGCTGCAGGTTTAGTTTAAAAGCATCTCTATATGCATGTATTTCATATTTGTTACGATTGTATGTTACGTTGGAAGCATTTTGCTGATTCAAGTCACCCTATCGACTTCAAGTTTGAAATATTTCTTATGTGGAGCCCACATAATACTCTTTGTCCTGGTCACACAAAAATCACCTAAAATGCACATCATGATGTTTATATCATGACAACACGGGGATAAACGGTCTGGTCCAGTTTTATATACACTAAATTCTTTTGCATTTTATCTTTCGCATGTTCCTTCTGCATCAGGTCAACATTGCGTATCACTCTGGCATGATCTTCTCAGTAATTGATGTACAAATGGGATCTTATCCTTCTGAACTTGTGGAGAAGTTCATAAAGCTGGCCCTCAAGTGTTGCCAAGATGAGACAGACGCCCGTCCATCAATGTCAGATGTTGTTCGGGAACTTGAAAGCATGTGGAACATGATGCCAGAGTCTGACAGCAGAATGACAGAATCCTCAACCATTGACTCGGGAAAGGTGATGAATCCATCATCTTCATCCTCTACGACAAAGAACCCTTATGTATCATCAGATGTCTCTGGCAGCGACCTCGTCAGTGGAGTCATTCCTACCATCACACCTCGATGATGACTGTTTTCTCTCCCTTCTTGACTGGGATTGTATAACATCTGTATAGTTCATATCATTTTCATTTGATTTGTCAAATGACTTGAATTAATAGGTTGAGCAGTTCACGGCTTGACATTTTTGCTGTAACACTATATTGTTGTTGGTGGTAACACATTAATATTCTTGTAAAATTTTCCATGTAGTCCATCACTCCACTAGTTATTGTTTTGCTAGGTTTTGGGATGTTCATGCAAAGATTTTTTTCAACTTTCCTCTGTAGCTGTACTTTAACAGGAAGATACACTATTTTTCTTTCCCTTAATTGCTGAAACTTCCAGCTTCTATCATAGTTTGTCTGGTTCTCTTTGGATTGATATGGTTGTGTTCTTCAATGTAGTCTGATGCTTTTAGTATGAAATATGGGTCGTGTTCTTCTCCGATTCAGTTAGAACAAAAATAAGCATCCTTAGAATCCTGAAGTTCAAGGAAGGGCAATTTATGTCTTGGCTTCTCTGCCAAACGATGGAAATATGCTTTCTCTTCCCTCCTCTTTTCCTCTCTACCCCCTTTCGTCCTATCAAAGAGAACACAAGTCAAACGACGGAAATCTCTGCATTTTATCCTCTGCTTTGTCCCAGAACCACTGTATCCATGAAGAAGAGGCAGTGAAGGTTTCATTAGAGCAAAGTGAATCTGCATCTTACCTAATATATATATATTAAAAAAATCCCAGTGTCACAATTAGGACTTATTGCTTCATTTTTTAAACTTTTATGCTAAAAATTTATGGTTGAATGTTAAAGGTTGACAACAAAAGTATCTTTAAATAGAAGGAAGGTTTTCACACCACGTTTTTTACATTTGCACTCCAATGTAAAAGGAAATAATTCTTTTAACCCTAATTTCATAAGTGGATAATTTATTTATTTTCAAAGTATAAAACTGCCGTCCAGATACGATTGATCTACCCCCCTATCACCAACACCCCCCAAAACAAAAAATATATTAAAGAAAATAAATAAAGTAAAAATAATAATTTAAAGTTTATAGTATAAAGGATATTTATGATATTTTAAAATAAGAAATTATGCATTAATGAGTTTAAGGACTTTTTTGTCATTTTATTCAGAAGAAAAACACAAATAGTGTGGGTGTAAAAAACATGGTGCGCGAATATGGCCTCCCTTAAGGAAAAAGATATGACATTAGTACTGCACTTAAAATTTTAAATTACGGAAATTGCCAAAGAGTAATTTTTATACAATTGTAGTGGTTGAGAGTCTTTTTGGGAAAAAAAGAAAAAAGAAAAAAAGAGAAGTCATTTTCTTTTCTTTTATTAGTAGATTGCAAATTCACAAAAATAGATCTTAATGAAAAACTTATTTTTCAATTAATTAGATAATTTTTATTTTTGAGGTACCAAGCCTATGCTTTCAAATATAACTTCAATAATTTTTTATGATTTCAGTCTTCAGATCTCCTAAGTGGCAAAGGAGCTGAGATTCTCTGTTGTCATATATTGTAGCGTTTTTCAACTCACTTAAATATATTTTCAACACATTTATTCTACATTTTAACACACATAAAAACACGTTAAACACACAAAATGATGGGTTTAAAATCTAATTTCAACTCAGTTACTTTCTATTTTAACATATTTGTTTTTTTAATTGCTGTTAAAAATGTGTTGAAATATAGAATAAATATACTGTATTTAGGATGGATCACCATAGCCCAATTGACCAGAACAGATCAGATCAAAGAAGTCTCTAGACTTGGGCTGACGTTCAACGAAATGGGTTTTATGTCGGCCCAACTCGCTATCAAATGACGCACGCTCACACGTAAACCCACTCAATCCAACACGAGTCCAAGACCAATTTTGCCTCACACCTTCCACTATATAAACGCCATTTCGGACGCCATTAGGGTTTTGTATTCGTTTGGTAGAAACAGCAGATCGACCTAGCACAAAGAGTTCGACATGGGGAGAAGTAAGTTTATTTCTATCTTCCCTCCTCCTCTATATATATTTATGTGTATATATGTATAGATAGATGCATATATAGCTGTATGTTTCTGAGTATAATGAAGGACCTTCGGTTCTGATTTGATTCGGGAAATGTTGTGACTTATTGTTCTATTACTTGTTACAAAATCAGGAAGAAAATTTCAGGTTCTTGCCGATTTGTACCTATTTTTTTCCCTTGTTCATGGAATTTTATTGTGTTGTATATTGTATTTGATCTATAATCTGTGAGCTTAGGTTGTTTTGAATATCTGTTTGAAGGATTTGCGAGTTTATGCCAATTTTTCCTGGAAGATTTAGGGTTCAATATTTTCGTAAAGTTAGGGGAATAATATTGGAATTCTTACGGGTTTTAATATTTGTTTTGTTCATGGAATTTTGTTAGGTTTTGTATATTTGATCTGTAATCTGCGAGCTTAGGTTGTTTTGAATATCTTTTTGAAGGAATTTGAAGTCTATGCCATTTTTTTGGAAGATTTATGGTTCAATATATTGGTAATCTTTAGGGAATTCTTACGGATTTGAATACTATTTTTGTTCAAGGAATTTTGTTAGGATGTGTATATTTTATATATAATATGTGAGCTTAGGTTGTTTTGAATTCCTGTTTGAAGGAATTGGAAGTTTATGCATTTTCTGGAAGATATATGGTTCAATATATTCGCAATCCAAGGGGAATAATATTGGAATCCTTATTTACCTGGGAATATCTTTATATAGTGACAAATATGCAATGAAGATGTTTTAATCACCTGGTTGATTTTTTAAAGTCGAGCTCATTGAAGTTGTAATATTCAGCCCTTAATTTTTTCTGTTTTTCCACACACAAACATGCATTAAAGTGCCAAAAACCCCTTCGTATTCAATATAGTGCTCCTATATCCCCCAGTAGTTCGAAAACACCTCCCTAATATGAAAACAAAAACAGTGCAAAATGCAAATAAGGGTTTGTTTTGTTAGTGCATATAACCCCCACCCCCATACTATGAAAACAGTCCAAATAAGGGTTTGTTATTACTCTGCCAGAGGAATAAATTGATATAAATGCTCTTATGTAGTACGAGTAAAAAACTCCCTCGGCATGTAACCAACCCTGACCTTGTTTATAACTTTATGCTTGTTTTGTTTGATTCACATAATCAGTACAACTATGCTTGTTTACCCTATGTATTCCATGTATATAATATGCTAATTTAATTTATATATACAATATAATTGGTCACACAAAAACATATATTGGTTTGTATTTTTGCCTCCACTGATTTTTTTTAATGATCTCCAATATATTACTGGTTAAGCCCCTTACATTAATGTTTTCCATGTTTTTTTTTGCTTCACTTTGAGTTGTAATTGGGTAAATTAGAAACCTTATTAATATTTTTGTAAATTAGATATGTTTTTTGAAATTATTATGTTTTCTTATATTGAAATTTTTGATAAATGTATTTTATTGAATCATGTTGACCATATGATATTCAATTTTGAAGGACCTGCAAGGTGTTATCGCCAGATCAAGAACAAGCCTTACCCTAAATCACGGTATTGCCGTGGTGTACCTGATCCAAAGATCAGAATTTATGATGTTGGAATGAAGAAAAAGGGTGTGGATGAGTTCCCCTTCTGTGTGCATTTGGTTAGTTGGGAGAAGGAAAATGTCACCAGCGAGGCACTGGAAGCTGCACGTATTGCATGCAACAAATACATGACCAAATTTGCTGGGAAGGATGCTTTCCACTTGAGGGTGCGTGTACACCCTTTCCATGTCTTGCGTATAAACAAAATGTTGTCGTGTGCAGGAGCTGATAGGCTCCAGACTGGAATGAGGGGGGCTTTCGGTAAGCCTCAAGGTACATGTGCGCGTGTGAGCATCGGTCAGGTCCTTCTTTCTGTGCGCTGCAAGGATGGTAACAGTCATCATGCCCAGGAGGCTCTGCGCCGTGCAAAGTTCAAGTTTCCTGGTCGTCAAAAGATCATTGTCAGCAGGAAGTGGTATGTAGAGAATTTATTTTTCTGCTCTATCTATAACTTATAAATTAATGTCAAGAGACATAACAGCAAAATATCTATTTTATCAACAAGACTTGCATAAATGCAGCCTATTTAGTGTTTATATTTCTGTTGTTTATAAATTTTATTTTTTTCTTACCTAATTCTTTGGGTTTCAGTGTGTTGATGGAAAAGGATTATACAGACTTTTCCGGTTACAATTAAAAAAAAGAAGAGTTATACATAGTAAAATGTTTGTAGTAGTCAATCGGGATGATTAGGACAGGATTTTCTCTCGGGCAACTTATTTAGTCCATACCGAACAGTAGCATTAACTATCAAAGAACAAAATAGAAGAAAACCACATGTTAGAGTCTTTCAATCTTGTCTATTTTTTGCTGTCCCAAATTGCTTTGAGTGTTCTCTTTAGTTGTTTACTGGTTGGTATAATCAAGTTACCAAAAAAGGGATTGATATAATCATGTTTCTCAGCATCAAATGGTTGTCCTCTTTAAATTCCCCCTGCCCCCTTTCCCACAACACATTGAAGGTAATTTATACCTTGATTCTACTGCTTAGATTGTTATGTCATCTACTGCATAAAATTGTTCTACATGAAGGAAATGGAATGTGTAACCTTTGTGATTGCCATGTTCAGGGGATTTACCAAGTACAATCGTACTGATTATCTGAGGTGGAAATCAGAAAACCGCATCATGAACGATGGTGTTAATGCCAAGGTTTGTCTTACATTTCATGTCTTCTTTAAGCTAATTTGCGTTTTCAACATTTTTAGTCCTGCGCCATACTGGATGGTTTTTGGACATAAATTTCATATAAAAACTCACAACTACTGATCTGGCGAATGCAGCTTCTCGGATGCCATGGACCCTTGGCCAATCGTCAACCTGGAAGAGCTTTCATACAGGCACCTGCTTAGGTTCACCTCAACTGAGAAACCAGTGTTTTGGCGACTTTTATCTATCCATATCGTAATGTTTAATCTCGGATTTGAATACTTTTGTTTGATTGCTTCTACTGCTATGCAGCTTTGTTGAATTATTGTTTAGTTCTCTTTGCTTGAATGAATTGGAAACTTAATTCAGTTCCATTTATTGGGACATAGTTTTTACTTATCTGTTGGATTCCTTCAAAATTATTTAGAATATTTGCTTAGAATGTGGTTGGTTTTTGGTGAGTAGACATGTGGTTGTGTTGTTGAGAAGGTGAATGAAAACATAAACTCACTCTAGTTTATGTAGAAGGCTAAAATGTATGAGAAGCAAATTATGGGTCTTTTTAGAGTGCGAGGTGTGGCATGGTGTTGGGGAAGTGCAAAACAAAGTGGTGGGTGTTTGTCTGAAACATCGAAATGTGATCTGCAGTGTGAAATGCAGGGGGTGAAAAATTATTGCCATTTTATAAATGTTTTTGTTGCGTTGATGCTGTATTATAGCGCGATACGCTTGGTAAAGCATGTTTTTGTTGGATGTGTTGCTAGCAAAGGAAAACACCACATAGTGCTTGTTAAAATTTTAAATGTTGAGCATTGAAATAAAATATTTAAGTGGCTATTAAATTTTTTTTACTTGACAGTGAAGATTTGTTATTAAAGAATTTATTTCGAATTAAATTTTGAATTGAGCTATCATGTAAGCAATAAAGAAAAAAAAACAAAAACACAACGCCTAAGTTTGGAGACACTAATTTGAAATAATGGCCTGAATTTCACACTTGGAAAAATGAAAAAGAAGGAAATTTAAAGAAGGAAATTTAATGCCACAACAGCCTAAAACAAAAAGGGTATTGCGATGGGAATGTGCTATGCTCTGAGAATGATGGAACCCCAAATGTGTTTGCAACCAAATCTACCACACAATGTAAGTCGTCAACAAGTTCAACAATAGATCAATGTGGTAAAAACAATAGTTCTCTAACTAAACAAAAGCTCAAAATCAAGTCATTTTGAAGCCAATTTCCACCTATATTTGCACGTTTTTTTAAATTGCCCTCATCGTCGGTTCCTCTTCTTAGCTGCAATTTGGGATGAATTCTCATTTTTCTTTGCTCTTGTCGAACGCCTTGGTTGTGTGTCACTGGCTGGAGCTTCAGCATCTGATGCCTTTTCAGCATCAGTTTCTGTTTTGTTTACAATCGGCACATCATCTTCTTGCCTTGAACGGCGGGAAGCTTTAACTATGTAAACCTGCAGTGGCACCACATAGAGACAGTTGTTATAATGAAAATAGTATCTTGCTCCAGAAAAGAAAATGTTATAATGAATTAATTCGCCAAAAATGACTGATATTGGAGCCTACGAAAACATATGCAAACTAATTTAGTGAGAGTGAAAGAACAACAAACAAGATCAAGAAGTTACTGACACAGTACTTTACCCCCAAAACATACGAGAAGGACTGGAATGCAGTTACTCTATGAGAACTAAAGTACATACTTTAGATGTTACTTCTATGATTCTGAAACACATAACTCATACTTTCAAAAAGAAGGGTATATTTATCTATGGTAACAATAATCCAACTGCATCCTTCTGCAAGAATATGTAGCCTATATCTAAATCTTATTAAAATGTAACTCTCTCACACAGTATATATCAAATGCGAGTTTAATGTTTTATTTTTTTGCTTATATATATATATATATATATCATTTATCCACTACATCGAGGCTCAATGAACCAAGAGTTCAAGACCAAAGCCAATTATTAAAGCAGAGGTCCGTTACCTATATTTGAACCGTTCTTATAGTTAAATACAAAGAGGTTTTGATACTTCTCTAATTCTCAGTATTTTCTTCAATGACACCACAATATCATTCCACTTATCTTCCAACTTCTTAAATTACATGCTTTTTTTTAGATCAATCAAGTGATTATATGGTAAAGTAACAGGAAACTGACCCATATTACCTCTAACCTCTACTTATATTTCAAATTTTCAGAACATGGCTTTTAATAAAAGCTCAGATTTAACACCAGTATCTGAACCATTCTTATATTTAAATATATAAATTGGAAAGTGAGCCATTAACCTGGAAATGACTTGTATTACCTTTAAACTTCGATTTTGAAAATATTGCTTGTAATAACCACAAGATCACCAACAACCAATGTTACGGGTGCGTGTCAAGAGGTCGGATCCTTCTATTTGTCAAATTATATGACACGGGGACACAAATTAAAAGTGTCCAAAAATCAGAGACGAGTACTTGGACACGGCATATAGACACACACACAAATATATATATATATATTGTAGGCATGGTATAATTAGTTAAAATGAAAGACAATTTTAAAAATAAGTTACCTTTAAAAGCCTATTAGTAATTAACATCGTATTTATTGTACAACTGTTACTATTATTAATACTTATAAAATAATAAATTGTGGCTTACAGCCTGTGGGGATACAACTGTAACCCATATATTGATGGGTGGCCATATTGGTTACTCGGGGACTGTGGGCTAGAGCTGGTGGGTTACAATTGTCAGTTTGTAACCCACACATATAAGATATATCTCATAAGCACATACGCGGGTTTGGTGGATCAGTAGAGAACAAAAATAAAGTTACAACATACGCGTGAATAACACGCTCCAACAGGTCTTTTATTCGATGCAAAATACGCAGTGAGAAGGAATCGTTGTCTTCCTTTCAAAGCCCTCCCCAGTCACCATTTTTGATTCAGAGCTTCTTTACATCCTGCGTGTTCGTCTAACAGCCGTGTCCAGTATGCAACATAAAGGGTCGGACTCATTCCCGTGTCTATGTCATGTCGACACGGACACCCTCGCCGGTACCAGTGAGTCCAGGTAACACAACCTTAGAGTGTCCCTAGCCAACCATGGCCTAAGAATCTCTAGACCAGCCATGACCTAAGAGTCTCTACAATGTTCAAGAAGAAACTTTATTTCTAGCCATGGTTAGGTGTCTCGACCAGTGATGATCAAAGTCACCATAATCAAATAAAGTTTAATCCAAAGACTAACTTGAGGTCAAGAATGATATGGTCGACAATGGTCAGTGTTCAAAGATGCAACAGTCTAGGCATGGGTCAAAGTGAAGAATGGAAGGTGAGGAAAGCTCAAAATGGTTAGAATATCACAGACAATAACCTAAAAGAATCTGAAGCCTACAGGTACAAAAAGTCATGACAGATGAAAAGTCTCACTGACACGTGGGAAGGCACGCAAGCTTGTTAAAAGCTGAAAATTCCATATTTCCTCAGGCTAATGATGGTCAGACCAGTAAGAATGACTATAGTAGTGAGAGTCATCTCATTGGTCTAAAGAATTTTAGTCTAAATGAGCAAGGTGAAGTTTTAAAGGCCACATTTGAGAAGGAACTTCCAGCATGTATCATGCCCAAGATTGATAATGGCAATGATAAAAATGAAATGTGTGGCTGGAAAGAAAGATCTGAATCTTGACCAAAGCCATTCACACAGAAGTCATTCAAGTATATGACTCAAGACCTAGATTCAAGTCTTGACCATCATGGTCAGTGTAACTCTCGCGTCATGACCAAGACTCGTGGGGGTCAAAATGAAGGTGGACCAAATAACTCTTAATTGGTCAAAGAACAAGTTGATTTTGGCTTGAGTGATTTGAATTTAAGTCCAAGTAACCTTAGTCATAGTGACAAAGGCCACGATGGGGAAAATGACAGGCACACAAATTCAAAATTAAGTCTAAATGACTTAGTTGGAGCAAGAGAGGATTTAGGTCACGAAGACCTGAATTTTTATTGTCAAGACCAAAAGGATGACATCATTGATCATCAAGACCAAGCTTCAGAGTTGGATCTTGACGAATTAGATAAAGATGAAGAAATATGTGGTCATGAAAATTCATATCATCAAGACCAAGCTTCGGAGTATGGATTATTTTTATACTCTGGATTTATTAGTAAAATTTATGATTTTTAGACCTTTTCCATTTCATCTTGCAATAACAAATCTTGCTATACTGGACACGGCTGTTAGACGAACACGCAAGATGTGAAGAAGCTATGAATAAAAAATGGTGATTGGAGTCTGGATTTAGGGCTTTGAAAGGAAGAAGACGACAATTTCTTCTTATGCGTATTTTGCATTGAATAAAGGACCTGCTGGAACATGTTATTCATGCGTATGTTGCAAATTTATTTTTGTTCTCTCCTGATCCACCAAACACACGTATGTGCTTATCAGATATGTGTGGGTAACAAACTGACGGTTGTAACCCACCAACTCTAGCCCACAGTCCCATGCACTCTTGTAACCCATATGACCACCTATCAATATATGGGTTAGAGCCGTATCCCCACAGGCTGTAACCCACAATTTTTTATTATTATTATTATTTTAAAAGTATTAATAATAGTTACAACTGTACAATAAATACAATTTGAATTACTAATAGGCTCCAAAGGTAACTTATTTTAACACAGCGGTTAAAATTGTCTTTGATATTAACTAATTATGTCATTCCTACAATATATATACATGTGTGTGTATCTGTATGCCGTGTCCAAGTACCCGTGTCTGATATTTGGATACTTTTAATTCGTATCCCTGTGTCTTATTGTAACAACCCTCACCCTAACTAGACTTTTGGCTCCCCTGAATATAAGACTTCCGAGGGGTCACCCAGTATAAGCACGCTTAACTCTGGAATTCTGGTGGGTTCACAACCATCAGGGCTTTAAAATGCGTTGTGTCATAAAACGCGTTGAACTTGCCCCATCCACACTCAGACGATGTGGGATTGTGCACCTGTAACTCGCCCAGTGTGATAGTCTAATGGTGCGACCTGCACACGCTCACACACACCCGCCCACAAGGTCATCACAATCACATACTATTCGTAAACCCACCCTTGGGTATGCAACGCCTTCTAAGATGTCAAATTGACAATACAGAGGCATATTAGCCCAAGCTCAAACTCGCCCTTGGGTATACAAAAGGAGCCCTTAGAATTTCTGATTACAGGTTCCCATCAAATAGTTGCAGGTCTGGTAGTAACATGGGAATGCATAGCCATGACTATGGCCATGCCACCAATCAAATGAGGGAAACAAATGGTAGTACTAATTATAAAATGTTTATAAAAAAGTATAATTGATATATATATATATATATATATATATATATATATTTTAGTTTTATGATTGATGTCTTAAACATAAAAAAGTCTTCTAAATTTTTTTTAACTTCCCAAAGTGTCCAAGTACCCGTGTCCAATATTTGGACACTTTTGAGCCTTGTCCACGTATCCTGTAAATTGATATATTGACGAATCCGATCCCTAGATACGCACCTATTTTCGACACCCGTACTCGAGTCCAGGTCACATAGGTCACACCTATAATTTGATAAATAGAAAGATCCGACCTTTAGACACGCACCCGTGTCCAACACCCATACCCGAGTCCGGTTAACATTGCTCTTAGGTCATGGTTGGTTGAGATACTTTTACGCCATATTGGTCGAGACTCTTAGGCCATAACTAAAAATTCTTCATATCCTTGACTAACTTTGTTTTTCAATCATTATGATTGAGAATTATGACCATTGGTTAGTTGTTTCATCAACCTTTATGTTGGTTATGATCGCCTAAGATTTTCAAGCTAAGTCATTTCTTAGCTGAGAACTTAGATTGATCTTAACCATTGTGATTAGAAATTCATTTTTAGGTCCATGGTATGAGAGTTTATGTACATGACCATGGATTGGCATGAAATATAAATCTTGAAAGTCTCAGCCACATGACTTTTAATTTTGGCCATAATTTGGGTGTTAACAATGACATATACTAGTTGGCACGAAAGCTGTGAATTCTGAACCACAAGGTTCAAACAGAAAACAAGCTTATAGATGTATATTATGAAAGACTAAGAGCAACTCCAATGCCCTCTTATTTGGGCCTCTCAAACTCAAAATATGAGAGTTGGGTAAAAAAGGGCCTCTCCAATGGGCTCTTCTTTGAGCTCTCAAAATTTGAGATTCTCAAATTTCTTCTCATATATGACAGCTGCCAAAATTTTTTGGCAAGTCTCTCATTCCCAAAACGGTGCCGTTTCTCACCAATCATCACCCACTCGCATCTCTATATGTATATTATATATATAATATACATATATACTATATATAATATATATAAATTTCCGAAAAAAAAAATTATATAAAAAAATTAATTCACAAATAGTGGTAAAAAAATTATAAAAATTTTATTTTTTTTGGGTCCTTTTTTGACCAGATATTTTAGATTTGTACTTCTTTTTAATTAGGTTTAATTTTAGTTTCCTTCTAATGTCTACAACTTGACTTGGAATGTGCCTAATATTAATATTACTAATGCAAATATGAATGGTGGGAATGGTAGTTGAAAAAGAATAGTGATTGTGTTAAAAAATAGCATTTTGCGTGAAATGTACCATTGGAGCAGAATTGCTAAAATGTAATATTTTGGTACTGTAGCACCTGTCGAAATATAGATTTGGCATGCGAAAATAGATTTTAGCATTGAAGATGCTCTAACATCTTATGAATAAACTTTATATCTTATGACATAGTTTAATCAAATTATAAATTATTAATAATCTTAGCCCAAGGGTACAACTGTGTTTCGCAATGTAAAAGCCTCAAAAGAGAAACCAAGACCAGAAACTCCATTTGTGATGCATGCAAGAGCCTCTCATTTTTTAAGGCGTGTATTATAAGGATAGTGAAGCTTATAAAACTCACAGTATCATGGTTATACGAACAACAAAGGGAGACAGGTTTTAGAGGGCATTATCATGATAATAATGATAAAAAGGCAATACAACATTCTCTATAATCTACGTGTGGTACAAATATAGAGTTGTCGAAATAGTACGGTACAAGAACATCATGTCTACAACAATAACGTATAAGCGTATGAACTTACCTTAAATCTTGATGGTTCGATCAATTCGAATACCAAAGCATCACCATCATCCAATTTATGATCCAATGCAAATGCTCTCCATCCACCACTAAGCCCCACTCTCGCGCCTATGTAAATTGCCTCATATTCTGCCCCATTCTCATCCTCTAATGCGATTTCTATTGTGGATTTTGGGAGATGCTCCTCACAGAATTTAGAAGGTAGCCCCTTGTTATCACAGCAAAACAAGTGAACAAATGGAGTGGTAAAGCAAGGTGAAGATATTGTTTATAGAATCAATGGGATAAAACTGTGCTAATATGAGGAAACCATAAACAAAAATCTTTTATTGAGACTTACCAGCCAAAAACAACTATAAACGTGAGATCGAACCATCGATTTAACAAAAGAGGGATTTTCAGATTGCAGATTGCTTTGTAGCTTCTCTGCAAACCTAAAAGCACGAGCTCTTTCTTCATAAGAAGCACTTTTAACTTCATTTAATGGTCTTGCAAGGTAGCTGGAATTCCAATAATATTGTTTTTACCAAATGGAATAAGGAAAATGTTTTCATAAAATAAATAAATAAAAATCAATTCAACCTTGCCCATGACGAATTGAACTTTGATCTCTTCCGTAAAGGTGGAAGGCCAATGTCAACCTGTTATGAAAATGGATAAAAGTAAATTATTTTTGATAATCTGTGATGCTTAAAAAAAAATCATTAAAAAGATAGTAAAAATTATCAATTAAAAAGGATGATAGAAAAAAGGGAAGAGCAAACATACTGATAGCAATATTATTTTCTATTTGAGTGTACAGTTTGTAGACAATTGACATGAACATTTGAATATCATAAATTAGGATATCCAAAACATTTCTTCATAACTCATATTTTGACAACTAAGAATCATCCCCTCTTTCTCAAATTCTTTTCAACTGTAATTGTGTGTTATAACATATTGTTAACTAGCATTTAAAATAATAATTCTTACTTCATCACGATATGAAGGAACTGGGTTGCGTGCACGTGAAGAACGTCTTGGCTCCAATAAGTAAGCGCTTCCTGATAAGGGTTTTGTGTGGCGTTGCTGCATCATTCATATATGCAAAAACACTAATATGAATGACCATAAACAATTATGGTGCAATACTGCCACATTTACAAATAGCTAAATTTTGCTTAATCTACAAAAACAAATGGGAAATACGTATGTTCACCTGGGGCTTCTTCTCAGATTTTTTGATATCAGATAAACTTCTGGAAATCTTCAAAATCCCCAAATCCTTCAACAACAAAGACATAGTAGTATACAAATAAGTAAGTGTTCTATAGTAGTTTATTAGCAATCTACAATGGAAATAAATCATAGGATATAGTAGAACAAGTAAAACAAGTATTATACTTGTATATAGTCCAGGAGTTTCTTGATGATCTGCTAGTGATGTAAATCTCTTCATATCTTTCTTCTAATTCTTGTGATTGGTGTACTGATATTAGTAAATGTTGACAACCATCTACTCTAAAATCTTAAGCTATTAGACCCCCCCCCCCCCCCCCCCCCCCCAATATGTGGCCTGCAAGAGTCTGCTTTTGTTCTAACACGTGTTCCAATTTTAAATCAGGGTGGTGGGGAGATTTGAATACAGGATTATCTTGGCTCTGATACCCTATTGACAATCATCAACTCTAAAAGATTAAGCTATTAGAGAGGGTGTAACTTAAAAATATAAATCCTTCAACAGTAAACTATTGGGAACTTAACATATTAAGACGAGAGAGGGAGAGATCGTGAACCTTGGTCCCCAACACATTAAGATGAGGGAGGGGGGGGCGAGGGGGGAATGGTGAGGCACAAAGGGATTATGAGTTCTGCACTCTCTTTTGGCAGTGCACTCTAAAACATAAACCATTTATTAGCATGGAAAAAAATGAGTTAAAAAATTTGCAAAAATTAGTTGCCATTAAATCCGTGTCTATCTTTATTTGATGTCGAATGCATGTGAACTCACTGCTGTGATTTAGTGTATGCATGCATAGTGTAGGTGTAAAATGAGACGATTTAATGAATGTAAAGTTCAGAATAACAAAATATATATTGGTAAAAGATCAAGCTGAGTAACCTCAAAACGCTTTTTATTGTCTTGAAGTCGTTGCTTCCGAACCTCCTCATAAGTGTTGGTGATTTCTTCGTTGGCCATTGTTTGCTAAATCTAAATGAAGAGAAAGAAAGACAAAACAAACATAGAGCAGAATGTTCACGGCCCCATGATTACAGAAGGTTGCTATGTTTAACATTTAAAATTGAAGGGAAAAACAAACACTAGATAAACTATTCTCAGTTGGGCAATAACATTAGTTCCACTGTACTTCATGCATTTGCATTTGGAATTTCACAAATTAGGCAATAATATCATTACCTAGATTAACAAAAATGATTTGATTAGTACAAAACTGGAGTGTGATCATTTGGAAGAAATCAAAAAACACAGTGGCTCCACAATAGTACCTTGGCATTAATATCAATGTCTTCAAATGAAAGAAGAAGTAATCAACATATCAATACTTAATAAATTGACGAGTCTTCTTGTCAAGATCTTCTCAAACAATTAACTGGTTATCAAGCAATAATACTCTAAATGATCTTACGCATAATTGAACAATCGATTGATAGAAAACGATAATCCCATTCCTAAACTCTGACTTCATCTAAAACTCACTCACTCCAAAAGGAACTGAAAAGCATAACTAAATGATAGGCATTTACTATATATCAAACCAAAAAATCAGTTTGGGTGATGACCCTTGTATGGACAGGAGCATGCCTGCCTATTTAGAAAGTATTGTGTTGAAAAAGTGAAGTCAGGATAGAACAGTAAACGCGAGGAATGAGACCTCCAATGGTACCCACTCTACTAAATAAGTTTGCGAGCAAGGGACATACTGAACACCTACCTTTCCAACTGATTTCAACACGAGGACCATGATATCTTCATATTCATGTTAGTATGTAACATTTTGCAACAATTGTGAACAACAATCTGCAAAACTAATGCAGAGTTTCTGACATTGTTTGCTGGGACACATTAACAAATAATTGAGTCACATCTACAAACAAATTTTTTTATCCAGAATGGATTGGAGATGTCTTATGATCTGTTTGGATTGAAAGATGAAACTTTTGATGGAAGAAAAGGTAGGAGAGAAAAGGTATATCTAGGAAAAGGAAGGAGGTTTTCCCTCATATTATTTGGTTGAGAAGGAAAGGGATATTGAATGATTTGACCATTATACCTATCAATAGTTGAAAAAAAAATTTAAATGATGAAAGACAGCTAAAAGGAGAGGAAAGTTAAAATTCAAAGTTGACCTTTATACCTGCCAATAAAGAACAATTCCTCCTCTTTTCAATACTCTTTTGGACTAAAGTGGAAAAGTGCACACATAGGGTTGTCTTTTGGGGATCTTCAATGAAATATTACTTATCAAAAAAGAAAAATAAAAAAATAAAAATTGAAGAAGAAGAAGAAGAAAGTGTACACATAGGAGGGACAAGGGAGAGCAAAGAGCTACTCCCTCACGTCAACGAAAATAGGGAGCTATTTCTCTCCTTCCCCCTTTTCCATCTTCCCTTATTTTTTCCCCCAACCAAACACGATTTAGTGTTATTCCATATTTGCATATGTATTTGTGTGTGTATATACATATGTATCAGCAGTGTGATTACTAGTACTGAAATTGACACTAGAGAAACTACTATTTTGAAATAAATTATTCTATTTCAACACCCATAATGAGTTCAAACATTTGGGTTATTTCTGACTATGTAGACAACAATATATAGATACACGCACAGAGGAATGTTAAAGATTATTAATTGATTTGTGCAGTGGGTTTAAACGATGAAATTAAATAGCAATAGAAGTGTGATGGTGTAATAAGAATCGAAAGAAACATGTTAAAGGGTTCGAAGATCAAACCTGATAAATTAATATATTTGGGCTTTTTGCTCAACGAGATGGATCTATTCAGTTGCAGAACAAACGTCAATGATCAACCTGTAGAGTGCTCTGAGAGAGAGAGAGAGAGAGAAGCAGAAGCGGCCTTTCTGAAATTTGAAATGAGGTGGCAGACAGCTTCGGTGTTTGTGAACCATACGTATCCGTTGGGACTGCTTTATTTCCTCAAACGACATCGTTCGTCAGCCTCAAAAAATTTAAAAATCCCAAAGAGTATTTTTTTATTATTATTTTTGCCCTTTTCTAAAATATGTACAGTACTTACTAGATAGTTTTTTCGTTCTTTTTTATAAAAAAAATAATGATGTAAAATGCAAGTGAAAAAAATGAATTGTTAATGTCATTTATGTCTGTTCATTTTTATTTTTTAATTTTTTAATGATGATGTAAAATACAAGTGAAAAAAATGAATTGTTAATGTCATATATGTCTCGGTATATAAATCAAACTTCTTCTTTTTATTTTTATTTTTTATAGACATGCTTGTTGTCACATTCCTCTTTTTATAGACATGCTTGTTACAAATAATAACAGTAAATAAGTTGGATAACCTAATTGGTTGAGACATTCACCTGAGTTAAAACTCACACCATTCTAGTCCTTTCCTTTCCTTTTTGAGTTAAAAAAAAAAAAAAAGGTTTCAACCAATAATTAAAATAATAAATTAAGAATCAAAATTTTCTGCAGTTCAACTCCTTAAAAAGTGGAATCAGGCATGCTATTTGTGTTAATTTAATTAGTCATTATATTTACCAAAAACAATTATTATTCATTATAAATAATAAAGGAAGGATCATTGCAAAATCCCCAAATTCTCGGATAATATATGAAAAACAATGTATTCTTGATTAAAAAGGAATCCCACACGTCTTCCAGGTCGGTTCAAAACATTTTGTGGTAAAGAATGGGTTAGGGCAAGACTAGAACTAACAAATTTTTTATGTATATTATTGATCGTCACGAAGAGTGTTTTAAAGAGTAAAGATTGAATCTTTGAATGAAAATAACTGAATAAAGGTACATGTTCCTAAACCTTTTTAATGTATAAAGATTGAATCTTTCAAAGAAAATGAGAGTTCTAAGTTAAACTTATTCGAGTTCTCATCGACATCCTGAGTAGTGTTTTAATGAGTAAAGATTGTATTATTGAATGAAAAAACCTCAATCAATGTACCTTGTATGTCACTGGACCATTTTAATGTTTAAAGATAAAATTTGTGAAAGAAAATGAGAGTTCAACATTAAATGGTTTGAATCAAACACAAAACAACAAAGTTTTGATTGTAGCAAGTGTTTTCAATTTCACAAGTTCACAAACACCATTCTTAATTTAAGTTGTGCGTACACACCCTTAGCCCACTCTTTGACATCTTTTTAGATCTGGGCTCAGGCCCACACTTCTAACCACCATATCATTTACCCCTATCAGATATTCGTATATGTGTGTGTGTAATAAACACATGCACACACAGATTTGGAAATTGCTATTGCTATCCAAATGCGGGAAAGTTAGTTGGGCCTCGGAGTGATTGTTTATGGACCTTTTAATGGCGCCAATCTATCATCTATCCTAAGTCCTACACTTCCTACCCATTTGACAGTGTCGCACCCCCAAATTCCCAACCCCCTCACATGCGAATGATGCAAATGGGTTCCACCAACCACCCTCAATCTTGATCAAACTATATATATGCATACGTGTGTGTGTGTGTGTATAATCAAATCTTGCACCGTCTTATTTGTTGGCCATTATCATATCATATTGTGGTAAGCTCACATGTCCAATCCTTCGTTTGTAATCTTGCAACAGTTTGGTAATTATATTTCACATTTTGAAAAGGCAATGAGGTCGTCTTTTATACATATCATGCACATTTAAGCAACTTAGGGTTTGGACTCCGCTAGTAGTGTGGATGGACCCTCACTACGTTACCCCCCTCCAATGGCCTATTGTCTTTGCACACCTACCCTATCAATTCCTCTCTCTTGTTTGTTTTATAATTGTATCTCTGTATTAAATCCTAATTTGTGTGAACAAGTTATTTTGACCATATATGATTACAAATAGTCTTTTAAATTAATTATATGTAAGGTACATCCCAACAAACTCCATTTTCAGATTAGTAAGAATAATTTTTGAAAATTCTATACGATTTAAAATATATATATATATATATATATATTGTATATCACTTTGAGGATTGATTTATGTGATGATAATCAAACCAATATTAATTGTGAATCAATATTGTATCATCTTCTTATAAGTTGGACATTCGGAATACACCATTACCATATTTATCATAAAAACAAGCTAGATGGATATTTTGTCAATAATAATAATTTTATAAACTATATTTATTCAAATGTATGTCAGTATGTGAGTCTTGTCCACAGATAAACTTTCTTTAAAAATGAAGATTGTAACGAAAGAATCCTTCCTTTTTAAAAAAACTAATTAATTAACCACGAGTCCACAGAGGAGTCTAAAATTGAAATTGATTATAGTAGGAAAAAAAAAAAATCAAAGTGAGAAAGCAATGAAGCAATTGATAAAAGAGGAGCGAAATTGGTATTTGATTGGCTGCTGGGGGGACCAAAGGAAGATTTTGATTCGAAATGCAGAGGATGTTGAATGGTGTGGGACCCAGGAGTACAAATAATGTCAGATTCGTTGCCTTTAAGGGACGAACACCATCAACGTCAGCCATTATCACACGTGGCCCTTATACTATTTTAGGAAACTACTCCTCCGTATCACTTTAAAGGAAGTCACCGCCGTCTATTGGACTCTCTCTCTCCTCTCTCTGTCATCGCTCATATGCAGCAAAACTTCACACTCACGTGTGATCCACATTATTCCTATCTATTAGGTATTCATGTCTAAGTGTTTTTATTTAAATAAACCCTAATATCATAATAAACCCTAATATCATTTTCATACGCAAAAACTCTAGCGTCACACTTGAATCTTCTTTGCCACCCTCATTAACCCTGTTCCTGCTTTCTTTGCTATAAAATCACAGACAGACCTTCAGCTCTCCTCCATCATTTCCTAACTGACGCCCTCCAATCTTTTTCAATTGCCTGGCCCACCAACTCTCTCTGGTCAGTAGACAAACTGGAGGGTTAAACATCCATTTCCTTCTTCCTTCTCCAACTCACTTATTTCGCTTCCAAAGGAATTATAAAGGAAAAACACAGTCTATCCTGTTACACCCCCTCTTTCTCTCTCCTGAACTCCCAAGCAAGCTGGCTCTTGAAGGTCTCTCAATCTCGCAGCGCATTTCACCACCTACTTTACGCCCTAGCTTCTCTCTCTGTGTTCACTGAGCTTTAACGGAGAGAGCGCTTGAGCGGACTGGGTTTAATTGGGTTTTTCTTTTAATCTCGTTTAGCTACTATGTGTTGAAGCAGGTAATGAGCTCCATTTATTTGTTCTGTGCGTTTTCTTTTATGTTGAAAGTTGCTTCCTTCCGTATTTTGATGACCCTGTTTTGTGTGTGAGGATTTGTTTATTATGGCATTTGTTATGCTGATCGAATCAATCAACTCAGCCTTGTGTCACTAAATTATTGGTTGGCTTCTTAGAAACAATATTTTTTTTAGGAATTTCTTGTACAATGTTTTTTGGTCTTGAATATAACTTTCTATTACCATCTTTTCGCTTAGATAAGAATTGAGAATCGGAAAATGATTGGCTCAAGCTGTCATATAATCAACTAGATATACAGAGGGGGCTGTCTTTTACTTGTTAAAAAAAAAAAAAAAACAAAGGCAGAGAAGGGCTGGCTTTCAAGTCTTTGTAATTCAGTTTACTGAATTTCTTCCAATTCCAAGATGCTGATTTGGTAAAGTGTATGTAGAACTTGGGATATGAATCTACTGATTTGGGACATAATTTTTATCACATGAATTGTAAAGTTTGTGTGTCTTGTGGGATTGTTCACCAGCATAGTTCTTATGTTGTAACTCTGCAACAAAATGATATTGTCCATTTTACAATTTTTTTCCTCGTCTAACTTAAACGATAGTCAATTTCATGATTCTATTTTTCCGAAAGGCATATTTATTTTCCACATTTTAGTTCAGTGGAAATAACAAGAATAATTGGACTTCAGAAAAGGTAACATTTTTTTGTTATTCCACTGAAGCCCGTTATTATCAAATTAACTCATAAAACTTGAATGGAAAATGACTCTAATGCATGTCTCACTCCTAACTATTTACTCTCCATTTTCGTAAAAAACTCCGTCATTCCAGCTAACTACTGGCACACATTAATACACAAATGACAATTAATTTTGGAAGACTAGGTCACATGCATGATTAGGTACAGAAAATAAATATTCTATCGTTTTCTCATTTGGCTGCACTATTACTTTAATCCATTATTCCATGCGTTACTCCCTATAATTTAAAATAATGAACACCTAGTTTCGATAATAATGCCAAGTCTCACTAACTGTCTCTCTTGTTTCCACTTTTCATTTCTCATTTAACCGAGCAGATATTGGGTGAGTGAGGCAAATCGAGTCATCGGTATTACTGAATCAACCACAATACAATTCATTGAATATGGACATGATATGTCTGGCTCACTGAATATCTTTTCATAAGCAAAAACTCTAGCGTCAAACTTCAATCTTCTTTGCCACCCTCATTAACCATGTTCCTGCTTTCTTTGCTATAAAATCACAGACAGACTTTCAGCTCTCCTCGATCATTTCCTAACTGACGCCCTCCAATCTTTTTCAATTGCCTGGCCCAACTCTCTCTGGTCAATAGAAACCCTTTCCAAAATTCTCTACATCCAAAATGTCCCAAAGGGTTTTAATTACATTTCTCTTCCTCCTCTTTCTTGTTCCTCTCCTTCTATCCTTCTGTGTTTGGTACAGAAGTACTGAATCAAGTGATGAGCATGGTGACTACAGAAGAATTATGAAAGCAGTGGCATGCCCGAAGCCACACTTTGTTCTAGTGCATGGCTATGGAGGTGCAGCTTGGGGTTGGTACAAAATCAGGGCCCTCTTGGAGACTTTTGGCTACAAGGTCACATGTCTCGACCTCAAAAGTGCCGGTCTCGATCGCTCCGATGCTTGTGACATTCATACTTTTGAAGAATATAACAAGCCTCTCATCAATTTCATGGCGAATTTGAGTGATCATGAAAAGGTATCCTTTTTAACTATTATTTTTTCTAATTAATGTGAAATATTGGAGTTTATTGGATATCGGATCACACAGTTGTACATATTGGTTGTATATGTTGTAGGTTATATTGGTAGGGCACAGTGCTGGAGGTCTGAGCCTGACAGACGCGAGTCACAAGTTTGGTAAGAAAATTGGGGCAGCGATATATGTTGCAGCTACAATGTTAAAGCATGGATACATGACAGACCAAGACAAAAAGGATGTAAAGTTTCTACTAATTACTACTTTTTATATGACCTGCATTTTTAACTATTATTTTATTTTACTGCATAACATGAGGGTGTTATAGTTATTTTAAATTTAAGGGTATTTTCACCAAATTATAAATTAGAGGTGTTTAATATCACACAAGAAATTTTCTGCACTATATCGAGAGTATATATATTGGAAAGTTTTTTTCACTGAAAAAAAAAAAAAAAAAAAAAAAAAAAAAAAAAAAAAAAAAAAAAACTATTTGATGGACAATTTATCGAGTGCAAGTAGAGTTTTTGACCTCTTTAGTCACCAACAGTGTTTCATCGCCAGCTTCAGATGATGAAAGGTGCTCGGTGCCCAAACAGAGCAACACTCATCTGAGATGTGCTAGCTAGGTGGGCTTGCCCAAGTGGGCTAAGTCATTAGTCAACAACATTGTTCTGTTGGGCCAATTCATTGGGCTGCTTGGAAACAATTTGGGTCACGTCACTCTATTCCTCAACTTTGCAACCAAAACAACTATCCAGACTTTACATTGACAAACTAGGGCTGTGTTTGATGGTCAAAATGAATTGAATGGCTTCGCTTTTACATAGTAATTGATGCATTCCCACCAATTTCGATGTGGGCCATAACAGAAGACAAAACACCCTCCACCACAAAGTACTGAATGTTAAGCTTTTTAAGTAGAGACTGTTCCTATGAGTTTCCTTAAAATAAAACAACATTTTATTATACTAATTCAAATAAAAATATTTTTATTTTATTTTGTTTGGAGCCTACTGTCCCCTACTAATTAATTATATGAAACAGGGAGCACCGACTGGTATACTAAAAAATATGGTCAACTACACGTGTCTTTCGGAAGCTAATAAGCCTTCAACCACCTCAAAGGATAAGAACGCTGCTCATAAAGGACCCCAAGAGGTAACCATAATTCAAAACATTTTTTAAACATTTTCAAAATTATTATTCAAGAATTTGTACGAATTCAAATATTACCGTCACTTTAATAATTATAATAATTAATAATTTCATATACCACATTGTTTCACTCATAATAAATAATTTGATGAATCGTATTAAAAGATATAAACAACTACATTATTTGTGGTGATTTAAAAAAACAAAAAATTAGAACAGTTGGTGGTTAACATGAATAACATGGATTGATTTTTCTAACAGGAGGAGGTGCTAGGTTTAATACTTCATCGGCCTGGAGTATCATTGGAGGCACTAATGGACGCTAAATTCGACGGAAATGGTGCGGATGATGTGCGTCGTGTATACATCAGGACGAGGTATGATCATGTTCTCATACCGGAACAGCAAGCTGCAATGATTAGAAAATGGCCACCGGCTGAGACCTATATCGTGGACACTGATCATAGTCCACATTCCTCTGACCCTTTCGTGCTCGCTGGGTTGCTAGCCAAAGCTGCAGATTCCATTGAGTGTAACTGAACCTGGGTCTGCATATATAAATGCAATATTTTAAAGCAATACTTTTATGTTTTGTCAATTCATATCTCTCACAGTTCAGTGTAAACAACAGAAAGAGAGGATAGAGCCCTTGGCTTATATTCTTCCTCTACTTGTCTTCTTCACAATTGATACGCAAAATGACAAAAATATGAACATAAAATCATACCTGTCTCATATAATAGAGAACCTGTAGCACAAACCAATGACCATTACAAATTAAAAACAGAGAGCCTGTGAGATTTAAGAATTATGATACATCTGTATGTAGTCTTACCAACTATAGCCACACTTTTTTCCAGGTGGCACTGCAAAATATATCCCATCAAGAATTTTTCTTCTGGCAGGTAACTACATTAAATGAAACAAAGAAATTGAATCAGCAAGCAATAATCCATAAACCATTACAGTGTTTAAGTAAGCTCTTAAGGGTACTGCACAATGGCAATGTTCAGCAGGTTTGAATGCATTCATGGGACGCACCAGTGGAGCATTAAAACCTTAGGTATTTACTAATAGCACTTAACCATGTTTGGGTCCTCAGGATTCAACATATTCAAATAAACAAAATAAAGTGTATAATGCATAGATGCACAATTAGAGGGGATAAAAGAAGATCCGACATGTTTAGAACTAAGCAGACATTTTTATATATTTGTATAAATTTCAAGTACTGCAGCAGATCATATGTATGTCTGGTAGAGAGAAGCAGCAAAACCCTGTCTGTCTGTCTAGAAACTTATCAAGGAATTGGTACCGCTGACCTCGAAATTTTCTGGGAATGAAGATTAAAACCAATACTTCCAAAGAAACCAAAAATAAAAAAATAAAAAATTGAAAAAGAGGAGCCGATACAATGTAATTCTAACTCTCGTACAGAATTGGTGCGTCATGTGAGGCTAACAAAACACCAAAGGCCTACTGAGAAAAAGAGGCAGCAAATATATCTGTTGTATTTTTGAAGTCAAAGAAAGACACCTAGGCACAAAAAGATGATACTTATTCCATAAATTAATCAGCATAAGCAAGTAGAAACCTAATCAAAAGATCCAGTTCAGGTAGAATGCCAAAATAAGAACAGGTACAGATAAAACTTCAAGCAGCATCAGAAGTTCAGAACTCAAAGAAGAGAAGTTTAAAGGGTGGAAAATGCACAAGAGAAAGGGAAATCTTAATAATTATTGCAAATTTTATACACGTGCTTACAAGGAAAAGTTGGAGAAAACTTGCTTTCCAAAGGAAAAGAAAAGAAAAAAAAGTTTGAAGAAAACTTGTGGGTTCCATCAAGGGTATTTTCAAGAATGATCAGGTGCCTTCACACCATATCATCATACTTGCTTGACAGAAAAAAATTATTTAAAAATAAAGCAAAAAACTGTTAAATCAGATAGTGTATATAATTTGACAATCATTACGTTGAGTAAATCCACCCTAATTGATGATGACCTACTGGTTCCTCTAGACCATATGCCTGTGCAACTTCTGTGATTATGATGTTTGTAGACCATGTAGTGGGGTCCACCATAAAAAAATAAATAAAAATAATTAAAAAAAAAACAGATGTTTCCCTTCCGTTGTAGAAAGGCCAATAGAGGAACAAATAACAAACTGAAGTGAACATTGTCAAATTGAATGCTACCCCCAGTTAATTGCAGAGGCTTTGCATCTGCATCATCCCTGATTTCAGGCCTCTCCTGTGGTAAGAATTAGAAGAAAATTATTTCAAGGCACTAAAACAGAAAAATTACCAGAAGAGAAGCTGGAACAGGAAAATGCTACTGTCAACATAACAAACGAAGACTTGAATAAACAAACAAAACCTCAGCATTACAAAATTTGGAACAAAAAGTGCCAAGAAATCGTTTACACCTCCCTAGACAACTTATGTCAAGGTGAAATCCCTAAATGAGAAGCTTGATAAAAGAGTGATTAATAAGAAAAAAAATTATTGGATTAAAACACCAAGTATAAAGAATGATCTGCCACATGCCATGGGCAACTCAACAAGCAACACACATATGCAACATATGGTCATTTGCATAGTGAAAGCCACAATGCTATTTGTGAGGATAAGAATTTACCACAGATTTTCACATGGCAAGGATGTCATGGTATTACTTGGTGATTGCAGGACTAGAAGGGCTAATTCTGTTAAGTTGTTTTTACAAATTGTCAATCCTACCTTTGATAGTTCCTTCCCAAATAAGAGTGATTGGTCCTCCAAATGTTCCTTAAAACTACTTTAGTCAGGAACGTTCACTTGGTTGGATCTCTCACCATTGGCTAGTGCTGCAAGTCAGTGGAACCAGTAGATAGTCTACTTGTTCACGCTATCCTGCATTGTTAATATGTTCTCTTGTATGTTCATAGTCTGGAGTTTCCTTGGACTAACCTAACTGGCTTTCTTGGGATCACTATTACTTGCTAGCATATTGAAAATTATGGTGCTAAAGGAAAATCCCCGAATTTTTGTCATAATGAGCAACTATTGAGGATTTGAAGAAATGTAAAGAATAATATTTCATTAGGAAAGCTGGGACATTTCAAAAATAAAGAACAAATTAATTAGCCTTTATTTAATATTTCCTCTTGATTATCTTGAGATGGGGATTCCTCACCCTACCTCAGGTTACTTTTTATAAAAACATACATTATTCAAGAGAAATTTTGTCATGTAAGAAAATGTGCAAGATGGAAATAAATCACAACAAAAATAATAAACACAAAGCTTCATAAAAGAAGAGGGTTCTTTTTTCTTTTTCCATCTACATTCAGAAAAAGAAAAAAAGACAGACAGAGAGCATGAAGTGAAAATATAGCACAATTACACACTTCCATTGTAACGAGACAGATGTTTCATTATCCTTTATTCTTTTATACTTTGTTTGGTACGAAGGATGGAAAAATGGGTGGAAGGGAGGACGGGGAAAATGGATGAGACATTTCTAGGAAAGGAAAGGTGGTGTCTCCCATTTCTTTCTTTCTTTCATAAAGAATAAGGATAAATGAACAAAACAAAATTCAGCCAAAACAAAAGGTACTTCATGAAAAATCTTCAGTGTCTTTTCAGATTCTGAATTGTTTCTCATGAAACATATCAAATCATTATATCATGAAATAAATGCAAACCACGCTATCAATTAATTTAAACTACAGACCAGCAGAGCAAATATTGAGTCACATACACTTAACAGGATTTATTGAATCTGAAACAGCTTTGATGATATACATAGGAACTCGAAAAATACCTAGAGTAACTGAAACCTCTGTATAGTCTCACGATATACACTGCCAAGAAAGTTGAGTGGAAGAGATCGCTGGAGCAGGAGCCCATAACCTATGCATACCAAAGATGATATGTTATGTGTCTGACCACTATTAATCAATTTAAAGATATAGACGTTGAAAGACTAGTTAAGTAGCAATTTTACCAAATCACCAACTATCATCTCGCCATTCATAATTCCATGTGAACACAAAACAATAGCAGCTGAAAGAGCTGTGCTAAATATCACACTTTGGCCAAAGTTTAAAAAGGCCAGGCTACATTGCATTTTTAAAGCAGCATCTTCATACCCTGAAAAAAAAAACATCATCATCATCATGTACAGCTTATCATATATATATATATATATATATATATATATATATATATATATATATATATATATATATATATATATATTTATTTGTCAGTGTGTCAAGAATTACAGAATATTAATTTGAATTATACATTATATTAAAGTGAAGAAGAATACTAAAAAAAGGTCTTAAGTCTTAACCCATGATGGAAAACCATAACAATGACAATCTCTATCCAAAATATCATTCCACTTATCCTATCTGGTTGGTTAGGTGACAAAACCCACTCAATTTGATTACAAAAGCAGGTATCAGCACATGGATCTGCATCTATGCACATTAGAAAACAACAACTGCAGCAAGTTCAGCAACAACCATACCTAAACCACTTAATGTTGACTACATAATTCCTGTTTTGCAATTCAGCTAATATTTAGTATGCAATTCCTATCCACCATTCAGCTATAGTTAAATCATGGTGAGCAACTTCTATAAACACTAAACAACTTACACTTTAAGATCTCGTCATATTTTTCAGCTTCGTAACTCTCATTGTTGAAATATTTAACAATCTGAAAATGAAAGAACCTTAGTTCTCGTGGGATTCGGTCCCCTTTTGATCGCTTTTTATACAATCTTACTTATCAAAAAAAGAAGGAAAGAACCAGAAAGAATGGAGAGGACAAGGAAAATAGAGCAATCAATGTCACATGAAAAGAAAAATATTCATGGAAGATAAATAAATACTTCCCCTCATAATTGATGAGTGAATCAATTGCCCTTCTATTTGCATCATTATCAGCTTTGTTCATGGCCTTCCTAAACTTAGTCCTCCACTGGAGAAGATATATGGAGGGAAAGGCTTTCAGGGTAATGTATAACAGCACAATTTCCACCAACTTAAGAGGACAAAGCAAACAATAAATAAATAATATAAAATTTTAAACTGTATAGTGGTACTTCTTCACCTTCCGAAGTAGAAGGTCGTGGGTTCAAGCCCACATAGGGGGGCATACTGATTCGACGAACCAAGAATTCCATGAGGATATAATCATTGTGAAATCCATATACGATCCTCAAAATCGTGGGCTCCTTAGTTGACTTCTCATATGCCAATCCTAATATTTAGCCTTGTAATGTTATTCTCATGGCCTTTCTAAGTTAAAGCCTGCTGTGGTCCAAATATCAATATAAAACAGACACATAAACCCATTTAAATTTCCTAAATGAACAATTATATCAATTTTTTCCCATATTCTCTTCAACAAAATAGATCTGATTCATCATACTGTTGACTGCTCTTTGTATTTCAGGCCATTTGGCTCCCCTAACTAGTAAGGATTCAATGCTTTTTTGCCCCGGTAAGGTAAATTGTAAATAAGGATTTGATCTTGCTCTGTTTTTAATTGTTTTCTTCTCTTTTTTTGTGTGTGCCTGTTTCTTTGCTATGACAGGTACCAACAGGGAGAGAAGTCCACCTAAACACACAACTTCAGGCCAATCATTGCCTCTTTCCTCCCAAAATTTCCCAATTCAGATAGTTTGTTTCAGACCAACTGATCTTTTATCCACCTCCCCTCCATCAAAAAAAAAAAAAAGTCTTGTCTTAGACTTTGTCAAATAGTATTTGAATACTGAGTAATAAAAATAAATAAATAAATAAAATCCTATGTAAGTAGAATAAAATTATGTTATGTTACTAAAATGATGAATGTTGAGTGATAATTTGAACTGTTTCCGTCTTATCATTTAAGATAAACGCAAATTGCAATGTGCTGTCATAGTTTTTTTCGGAAATTGCAAAGTGTAACCCCTACCTATCCACCCCCCAGAGAGCAAAAAAGAAACAAAAGAAGGAAAATAATCTGCAGAGGAAGATGTACCTGGGTTACACTCAATGTGAATATAACATTTGCAGCAACTGAATGAGAAGTGATCCATGCAAATGATGCTCCAAATTTGTATGCCAGTATCGCTGATACCGTGGATATCTGGAAGGATACAAGATAAATTGTAGAACTTATATTCAGGGACAGGGAAACAAGATAGGGTAGAAATGTGTTCATGACAAAATATTGAGCTAAAAACTATAGCGCAAGCAGGAAATTAAGAGCCCATATCACCGACACTACAACTCTTTATCTCGGATGGCAAAATGTAGAAGTAATAGAATCCAGGACAGCTTCTCTGTTGTACACGCGCACACACACTTAGGGACGGCAACGGGGCGGGTTTGGGTACCCCCACCCCGTCCCCATCCAAAACCGATTAAATGGGGTACCCTCCCACCCCGTCCCCGCCCCCGTTTAAGTTTCCCCGCCCCGCCCCATTTAATCCCTCAGTTAAATTTTGCCCCTGCTTTTTTATTTTGGTCAAATACACTTTCATTTGAATCATTCCAATATAATAGAACCCCAAATTGATACATAACAGAAGCTAATCTTTCTACAAAGGATGAATAAATGGCTGAAGAGTGAAAAAAAAAAGATTTAGGGTTCCATTATTATATTATTACACATATATATATATATATATATAGGAAATTAATTTAATTACCAACCTAAACTTGGTGGTGCGGGGCCCCTTCTCCTGCCACTTCCCCGAACCAGCGCTGGTTTTCTCCCCTCAAACCCATCCCCGCCCAAATTCCATAAACGGCCCCCCAAACCAGTTTAAACAGGGCGGGTACCTGCCCCCGCGGAGTAAATTGCCATCCCTAACACACTATACGTTATGCCGATTAAAAACAATAAATGCTAAAGATTCATACCTCTAAGAAGGTGGGTAAAACGTTGAATACCATGGATGAAAGAATAAAATTTATTGCACGGCTACCACCATCTAATTCGATTTAAAGCACCTGTTTCTCAACTGCAAATATAATGACCAAGATAAAAACAGAAAACCAGTTATGCAATATAACTCTTAAGAACAAATATACTATATTAAAAAAGTGATTGCTATTGTAATCAAAACCATTGAAAACAGGATGTGCATCATTAGTTTGAATAATATAAATATGCTCTGACGCATTGGCCCAACATTGAGTAAGTCTGAATTCATGGTTTTACTGTATATGCAATAATGCATACCAATATGGCTCCTGAAGATTGAAGTGAAAACTGAGTCTGCATTTTACACAGTTCTTTAGGCTGTGGCTATTTTCCTGAGAAAATCCAGGAGAATGTGGGATTAAAGAATCTTCAACATGAGGAGAATGTGCATCTAATGAAGGGTCTAGCAGTAGCAGTACTGTTCATGAATTATTGCGGAGTTACAATGTTTATTTTATAATGCTGGGAAAAAAAAAAAAAAAAATTGTTAGTATGTAAGAGCTAACACTACAAACATCAATTTTGAACTTAGTAATGAACATAGTAAAGGAGGTTAAATTGCTAAAATAACTGACTGCTATGGACTTGTCTTCACCTTCTTTCTTTTTTTGTTTTGTTTATGTTTTTGGTTAGGTACTCTTGCCTGCCCTTTGTCTTCCACTCTTCCCCTTCTTCAGGCTTCAAGAATCAATGTCTCCTCAATGTCGTCATTAGCAGATTAAACACGCAAGCAATATACACGTCTATGAGAATCATACAACAACAACAATCAAACCTTTTTCCCAACTACTTGGGGACGGCTGTCTATGAGAATCATCAAATCCAAATCTCTTTCTCAAAATTTCAGACAGGATCTAAACATTGCAGCTTCTACGATTCTCATATCTAGAATTATAAAATTCAAAGAACCAACAAACATATTCCACAATGACAGCAATGTCTTTTGACAACTATAAGGACAGTTATTTGCTGTACAGACTGCACCAATACAATCTTTTGTATTAATATCACTCTGTAAACTGAAAACTTGGCCAAAATGGAAAAGAAGAAAAAAGGAAGAAGAAAACAACATATGGCAGCCCAATATTACAATCTTTCCAATTTTAGTGGATGTCCAAGAAGGGACCACAATATTACAATCTATGTCATGGTAGATAAAAAAAACAACTATTATCAAAAGAATATTTCTAGTGAGCTGAACAGAACATTCTCCAGACAATACCTAAGATGATACCGAAGGTCAAGCTCATGCAAATGTGAAAAGACCTGCAAAAGTTAAATCTGCTTTACATGTCACAACTGACAAGCAAGAAATTAGGATCAAATCAGAAAAATGTCATGTAACTGTAAGTATAGAACAATAGAAGCATGAGCAAGACAAAAATTTATGCAAATTTAATAGTGCTAAGTTATGGGTTGCACCATTACACGTCAAACACTGCATAATTTATCAATTAGGGACCCAGCAAGTTGACATTTTCCATATAGTGAAACAGTTAAAATTAACAACTTAATTTTATTTCCTCCTCTATTTATTATCATCCTTAAATTTTGTTGCAAGATCATCTTCGTTATCAGCAAAACTATTTTGATGATGATGATGACGATGATGATAAAAAAAATAATTGGTATGAGAATTGTCTGCTTAGAAATTCAAAATTCTATTTCCCACCATCTTCTTTGCATATGTGTGCAGTTAGATGGAACTTATCCTGCAGATTACAGGTCCTTTTATTTGGGTACGTGCTGGTTATATTGAGCTGCTTCACAATGTTGTACCTTTTGTATTCCAACATTTTACCCTTTTTTTCTTCTATTAAAATCTCTTTTATCCAACAAAAAAAGAAGGCTGATACAACAATCAAATATATCATTAAGTTACAATAAGGACATAGGAATGAGAGAAGAAAAGAGGTGGTCCACTGAGTTTCAACGGTCATCTCATCTATTTTAGACCTAAAAGTAAGAGAAGAAAATTTTAGAGCTAATGATAATATTATGCTAATAATGTACATAAGTTTAATAGTCAATTAATTCCAATGAAGAAGGAAAGGGGGAAATTGTAAGGGTCATTTTCCAATATATGTCCTGAATCAGTACATGTATGAAAAGAAAAACCACTACTTTCTTACCTTTCTAGATACTGATTGGATTGTTCGCAATGCCACCTTAGAAAATACAGCAGTTAGCAACTCTGGAGCAATGGATATGAATGGGAGTATAAGAATGGGAAAGACAAGTCTCAAGTGAATTACCATTGAAAGCAGACGGCTCAGTTCGTGCTATTCCATATCCGATTGAAACGGCTGCTGGGCTCACGAAAAGAGCTAAAACAGTTGAATTAGCAGCGGTAAATGCAGCAAGAGTACTAGCATTCCCAGTTGCTGTTGTCAACCAGTCCACGGCAAGCTTGAATAGAAACACCACAAACTTGTTCAGTAATCAATAGTCAATCACTACATTTACTTCCTAAACAACAATTAATTACTGAACCAATAATAATTACAGAGACTAGAGAGACAAACTACCACCCACCTTAGCTTCAATCAGAAAAACCCAAAGGCAATAACCACCCACAAAATAATACAAGACATAAGGAGCCCCAATATATATATATATACATGTATCAGCAAACACGCACAAGTCAGTGTTTGTGTGTGTGGTGTAGAATTCGACTTACAGGTTTTTGTGGAGGTCTGCGGGTGGAATCTGAGAGAGAGCCGTTAAGGTGTTTGAAGAAATGCGAGGTCGTTCTGGAAACATCACACGCGCCGACCAGAAAACTCACTGCTAAAATATACGATTCATATGATTGTATCGTCCTGAGCCACCAACACTGAGACATCGTCCGGTTGTGAATGATTTTGAATCGAAAGAGCGACAAGGGACGAGAGTTTTGTGACAACAAGTGCAATGACAATTCATTATCGCCATCTCTCTACCTTACGCAGGAAGAGCTCGCGAGCCCTGAAGCACATTGAAGCGATCGTCGCTTGCATTCTCTACAATTTTAGACGTAAACGATGATCGAACCGTATTACTAGTTAGGAATGTTTTTTTATTTTTATTTTTATTTTTTTTTTTTTTTTACAGCAGCTAATAAATTATTGGTTTTATAGTAATGTAATAATTTTTTGTTATAGTAGGGAATGAATTATTAAATTAATCTGTAAAAAAAATTATTAAATTTATCTATGGGGATAATGATGTGATAGTTTTATTTATTTATTATTATTAAAAGTAAATGAATTATTAAATTTACCTTTAATGAGTTTATGTTTATGGTTTATTTTTATAAATTTTAAAAAGTTAAATGGATAATATTATTAAATAAAAATAGTATATTTTCTTTTTAAACTTATAATACATATCACTGAGTGGTACACTCCATTTAAAATAAAATATAATTTTTTATTTGCATTATTGGTAGTTTGACTCGTTTTATTCTTTTGGCAGTAAAAAAATAGACTAATTTAGTACACAAAATTTTCGCCAATGCATCATCTAAGAGGTGTCAAATATACGCAGTTTTACTTGTGCATCATTTTATTACAAGTTATGAATGCAAGGCTTTCCCTCCACTTTCATAGAATATGTATTTTCACAACATTTTATATCAATAATTCAGCAACAAACATCAAATTGAATATTTATTTTCCTCGTATTATGTGATAAAGTAACTTAGGGAGTGTAAATGATATATATGATATACCATACCATCCCAAGTGCATCACCGACCTACTATAATTAGGAATTCGAGCATTTCATTGGAGACTTGTAATTAGGAATGGCAACGGGAAGGATATGGAGCGGGTTTGTTTAAATTCGTATCCGTCCTGGTTAAGTATGGACAAATTCATACCCACTTTATATTCACAACGAATTTTAATTTCACAAGTCATACTTACCCCGTTAGGAGATGAATGTACCCGTACCCATGAAACCAACCCTTCTAATTGATTACTATTCAAGCCTAGACTCTTCAAATTGTTGCGCTCTGAGAAATTGGCTGGAATCGAACCATGAAAGTGATTCATTCGCAAATCTAGCAATACGAGCTCACTGCCCAAACATTGTGGAATTACATTGCTCAAGCTGTTATTGGACGGATCAAGAAGTCTGAACGACTAAGGTAATTGGGCCTGTGAAATTATCATGGTCAGATTGGACAACGACGAAGGCAATGGATTGTAGCTCAGATCCAAGATGGTGAGATCAGTACATACGTGCATTCATTTTGTTGCTGTGAAATCCAAAACTAACTGTGCATTCATTTTGTTGCTGTGAAATCCACCACCAATTTTCAATTTTTGGCAAAGATATTAGAGATTCTCACATATAAGGGTTGTGGACGCTGTGCTTCAGAGGAATGTGCATCCATTGGGCACAAGTGACAACACACAGCGGCGTAGGGAGTTCTTGAGAGTACAAGGCATTATTTATACAATTTAACTTTATAACTGTACCATGTGGGAGATGATTCCTTAATTTTAATTTTGAATTACAAAAATTCATCAAGTGAGTTTTTTTTTTTTATTATTATTTTTTCTTTTTTGTCAAATTCACAGTAAGTTGAGTTCATAACAAATTGACTATTCATGATGCAAACATTATTTACTGCAATCTATTGGGACCCACACGATATAGAAATCGGACTAAAGTCAATCACATTGATGTTATCTATCACATTGGCGTAATTTCAATAATCATTGAGATATTATTCCTGTCTCAGGAGAAAAGTAAAATGAAAAAAGAAATTGTAAAAATAAAAAAAGAAGAAGATTGTATCAAAATATAATAATTTTCATCAAAATGAAAGGAAAAAAAATTAATATAATTGTCATGATATTTTGAACTGATACCTGCCAACTCCAATGAAGTCATCACTTAGGGCTCACTTGTACTGTCATGTGAGAAGTTTGGCAAGTTTTATCCATCATTGAAGGGATTCACTGCACTCGAAATTTGAGAACACTTTTCTTTTCACAATTGCTTTTAAATTTGTACTTACTCAAGACCAAAAGTAAAATAAAATGTACATTTACTCTAAGGGTAATTTACACAAACCTCTTTTATAATTTGTCATAATTACAAAGACTTCCCCTTTAATCTGAGAATTTACTCGGACCTCTCCTAAAATTAAAAATATCATTCATTACATATTGATCTTAAAAAATTGACAATTTTTATTTTTTTATTAATTAATTAATTTATTTTAATTTCGTAGTAAAAATAAACTCTGACCATCAAGTGTGAGAATAAGAATTTCAATATAGAAAAAAAGACTTAAAAATCAAAGAACATCTTCTTTTAGATTTTTCCTCCCACCTTCTCTAAAAAAAATAAATCAAAAGAGAAGCATCTTATTCTCTTAACAAGAACTTCCAAAATAAGAAAGCATCCAAAACTAGCTTTTGTTGTCACAGACTCACAAATGATCCAATCCATTTACGAATAAGAAATTTTCACTACCCATTCATCAATTACGTTATTTAGCTAACTTCAATTCATATACATTCGTTTCTCTAAAAGTTTAGCTTAATTTACCATCACAGGTGTTAGTAGTAACATTAAACTATTGAATCTGTATATAGAGAACGAAATTGCATAAAATAGAAATGCACTAATGAGCGGCAAAGAAATAATTATTGTAGATGTGGGAGAAAAAGAGTTCAACATTATGCTGTAATGATAAAAATATATATATATATTGACAGTATTGTTCCTTATGATCAATTAAAGACCTATATTTCTCCATTAAACTCGTATAGAGAACGAAATTGCAGAAAATAGTAAGACATTTGGTGGCAAAGAAAATGAATTCAATGTTTCAAATAAGGAAGTATGATTGCTTAATTAGCTTGGTGGCAAAGAAATATATATATATATATATTATGCATGTGTGAGAAAAGAGTAGAAAAACAAAGTTTTAGACCAATAAAAGAAGTGATACGGAGTAATTTCCTAAAATAGTATAAGGGCCACGTGTGATAATGGCTGACGTTGACGGTGTTTGTCCCTTAAAAGGCAACAAATCTGACATTATTTGTACTCCTGGGTCCCACACCGTTCAACATCCTCTACATTTCGATTCAAAATCTTCCTTTGGTCCCCCACCTTCATTAAATACTGGTATTTGATTGGTCCCCCACCAATCAAATATATATAACTGGTATATATAAGAAGATGATACAATATTGATTCAGAATCAATATTGGTTTGATTATGATCACAAAAATCAATCCTGACAGTGATATACAAT